GTCTGGTCCATGTCCCTCACTATAGGCTTTTCCCTTATAAATGAGTGACAGTTAAGACAGTGGATAACCAGACAGATAATAGTAATGCCGAGTTAAATGCTTAAAAGCAAAATTTCACCAAAAATTTCATCAGAATTCAGAAGTCCTAGGAATGAATTCTAGACCTAAGACCGAAGGGCTCAATAGATTATTTGGAGCTCATCTTCAGCTCCTATTGTTTCAGAAAGGGTGGCCTTGAGAATATGGAGATTCAAGGAGTTTGAGGTATATACACCATTTCCAGGTTAAGGGTCACAGTTTGGGTAGGGGAGGGTTGAAACCAGATCTCCAGAGCTTCCACTTTTGTCAAAGCTCACCAGCCAGAGACCAACCCCGCATACAACCGAGGTCAAACAAAGTGAGGTTTCTGGACCTAGCTGAGGAACCCAGGGGCATCCTTGTGAGATAATGGTGCAAGCTTGTAGGTTTGAACTTGTTCTGGGGATTTAAGAAGGGCCAAAAGAAGTGGAGACCAGTAGTGATTTGGGTACTATTGGAGCTATTCGATTATGTACCTTGGTAATCTTACCTAAGAGGCGGTATGCTTAAAGCCGAGCTAGTCCTCATTGTCCGAAAACAAAATATTGGAAGAGTGGAGATGTATAATTATATTTGTAGTTGCAATGAAGTTTTTGTCATTCTCTTGTTTCAGACATGCTCATGGGGTGGCTGTACTCTGTCTTGGTCCACCATGGTCACAGAGTTGCCTTGTCATTGTTGACGTATTATGATCATTGTTTATGTTCCAGTGGGAATGTTACAGCCTTTCTATTAGTTGTCAGGGCCATTTTGCCCTTTCTAAGGGCCTGGCCTGGAGATAGCATATATCAATTCTGCCCACATTCCATTGGTTAAAATGCAATTATGTGCCCACACTTAAATGTACAAGAAACTGGAAAGTAGATTTTAGCTGTGTGCTCAGAAAGAAATGTGAATTACATAGCAACACTCTTTGTTTTGGGTTTTTCTGGCTGTTCCTTTTGAATCATTTTCTTCCTTTGTGCCCATTCCCACTCCCATAGACCTACACCCCAGTATATTTAATATATGTCTTTCTGATTTACCTTTTCTATATTAATTAGATTTTATGCATCTCTGAAAAATATATATGATTCCTTTGAGTATGTTTTTAAAATGTACATAAATGCTTGTCTATCATTTGGATTATTCGTTTTTTCACTATTTTTTGGAGATCTATTTATGCGGCTACCTATAAGTCTAATTCATCCCTCCTGATTGCTTCAGAATACTCCATTCATATTCATTCAACAATTTATTCTGCTGTGTACCAAAGACAAAAGCTTTCCTGATAATGTCATGTTTATTCTTTCAATTATTTTTGCTGCATAGTAAATCACCTCTAACTTAGTGCCTTAAGATAACAACAATAATTCATTTTATTCCTAAATTTGCAATTTGGGCTGGGCTTGCAGGGACAGACAGCTTCATCTCTGCTCCATGTGTTATTTTTTTTTATAATTTTTTTAAATTTTTATTTATTTATGATAGGCACACAGAGAGAGAGAGAGAGGCAGAGACATAGGCAGAGGGCGAAGCAGGCTCCATGCACCGGGAGCCCGACGTGGGATTCGATCCCGGGTCTCCAGGATCGCGCCCTGGGCCAAAGGCAGGCGCCAAACTGCTGCGCCACCCAGGGATCCCCTGCTCCATGCGTTATTAGCTGGAGCTGGCAACAACTCCCTGGGTTGGAGCCAGAACCAGCCGAAGGCCCAATCTCTCACATTTGGTGGTCGGTGTTAGCTGTTGGTTGTTTGCTGGCACATTTACATGTGACATGTCCGTGTAGCTATGTGGCTTCCCCATAGTGCAGTGGCTCGATTCCAAGAACAGTTGTCCCAAAAGGACAAAGAAGAAGTATATGGCTTCCTTGTGACTTTGAGACAAAGTCACACACAGTCACTTCAATGGTACCCTGTTGGTCAAGGAGGACACAGGTCATTCTCAGGTTCACAGGGAGAAGACATAGACTCTACTACCCAATGGAAGGAATGTCCATGTTACATGGTTTTTAAAAAAAAAAAAAGAAAAAAAACATGTGGGATGGAATATGTTGTGTTATCTATCTTTAGAAAGGACAGTCTGTCACATTTGTGACAATAAAAAAAATCTGATTTGGATACAAGATTATTTGAATATCAAGACTGATTAGCAAAGGTTTTAATTGTAAAAGTAATATTCCAATATGCTCTTTCTTCTTGAACAGAGTACTAGATTGTAGTCAACAAATACTTGCTTCCTATATATTCTTAGACTTTTTTTCTAAGATTATCAATATCTTCCCCCTCAGTCCTTATTTTTTATGTGGACAGTATAACAGATGAGATCAACCAATTTATAGGACATGATTACAAAGAATGTAATACAGAGAAATTGATTTTTTTTTTCTTCAGAAAATGTATCCTATAGTGAAATGATGGCAATCATCTTTTGGGATTGACCTGAAATGAAGAGAGTATTCATTGCTGATCACTTGGCTATTTGGGGGGAAAAAAAATCTTACAGAGTAGTAGCAAAAAAAAAAAAAAAAAAAAAAAAGTAGTAGCTGTTCTCAGCCATTTTTATTTTTTGCTGCTGACAAGAGGATCTCTTATGTACTGGATATTCTGATTAGATACCCTAATATACATGTGACTATCCTGAGTTTCTTGTCTCCATCACTAGAAAATAGATCTGTAATTTTTGTGGTTCTCGTGCTTTTTTCTCTGATCTGTTCTCTCCTGAGACTATTAAATATGAAGGTGTTTAAGGGAAATGCTGCCAAGATATCTCTGCCTTTCTTAAGGTGATACAATGTGAGGAGAGTAGGGAAGTGTTTTAGCAATCGGTAAGGTCAAGAAGTAGCTGTAGTTGGATTCATCCAACCCTGTCAAGTCCTGATTTCTGTAGATCACTTTAACCATTTCTCTCAAAATCCAGAAAAACCACAGCCAAAAAGATGATAATGCTGATCATGACAGCATTTCCCTTTGTAGTACATAGAGTTTTCACCAAAGAAGAAAATGACTTGTAATTTAATCACACAATTAAAAGTGTGATGTAAACGGGCCAGTCAAGTCCATCCTTTCTTCCTTCTTGAATCTCTAAGTCAAGATGAGACCAGTCTTGGGCTTCTGTTTTCTTTTGTTTGTTTGTTTAGTGAAAATTTTCAAATGTATACAAAAGTAGAGAAAACGGTGTGGTGAACTCCCATTTACCCATCCCCTAACTTAGCAATTACCAACTCATGGCCAATAGACACTCTTTAAAAATATAACCACAATAACATTACCATACACTTGAAAATTAGCAATTCTGGAGCCTGTTGAAACATGCAAAGGGTGTCATTGGAGAAAGGGAAGCAAAGATATGTAAATGGCATATAACATGAAAAAGGAAAAGAGTTCCAATCTCTGACATCTTGGAGAAGGTTCCAGTTTGGCAGGTCTTCCTTTGACGTGGAGAGCTACACCCTTTCTATCCTAATAAATCCTCTTCTTTTTTTGATAACACTTGTTTGAGTTGGACTTCTGTGATTACACTTGGACATGTCATGACTTATGTTGCTACTATCTGGATAGCTTAGTGTAACTCCTCATCTCCATGTTCTTTGATTTCTCACACCATCCAACTTAGTAACAGTAATAATGCTTTTAGCTACCATTTTTTGAAAGCCTGTCACTCTAACCAAGTGTTTTACATTTAATCCTTATAAAATGTAGCAAAAAGTTATTTCTCTGTGTTGTAGATGAAGATTTACATGGATTAGCTTCCCTGTATTCTTGTTGTGCCTAAAAAGGTAATATAAGTCTGTAGAATCAGACTCTGAGTTCATCAGACTGTTTCCTTGCCTTCCTAGGCACAGAGAGACGCCTTCATTGCACTTATGGTTGGTCATGTGATTGGGTTCTACCTCTGAAACGTGAATAGAAGAGATGTGCCCTGTTTCTTGACCAGGCCCATGAAACATCCCATTTGCTCCCCTCTGTGCCCTCCGTGTCTGCTATCTGGTTTGCCATGCCTGGATGACCTTGGCAACCACACGTTGAAGGTGGCAAAAACTGATGGCCTGGGTCCCTGGAGTGGCTGTATGCAACAAAGCCCCCTACCACCAATCTGAAACCTTCTGGAGCTGCTTTTATGAGTGGTAAACTTCTATTGTATTTAAGCCACTGTGTATTAGCGGTCAATTATTACAGCTGCTAGCCTTCCTTAAATCTTTATATACTGCTTCAGTTATACCTCACCAAGTAACAGACCATCCCAAAATTTTGTGGCTAAAAAGCACAGCCTTAACTCATGGTTCTGAGAGTCAGAAATGTAGGCTCCTGCCTATACTTGTTCATGCAGCTCCAGCCAGCAGATGCATCAGCTGGGGGTGGTGTTGTCTTAGTCGCACATTTCTGGAGATAAGTGCAGGCTGGCTGCTGGCTGGACCACGTGTCTCCAGCAGCGTTGCCTGGGATTACTGACATGGTAGTGGAAGGGTTCCCAGTGGCAAGGGAGGACAAGCTGCAATCTGCAAATACTCTTCAGGCATCTGCTTGCATGTGTTTGCCAATGCATCATTTCATGACCCCTTGCAAGTCACAAAGGTAGAGGGAAATGTAATGTATTGGGGAAGCATTTGCTATAATGATCTACCACACATATTATAGTACTAATGCAAATCAAGTTAGGCAAATCATTCACAGATCTATAACATCTTGGACACATATTTGATAATATAGTCCAGCTATGAGGCTGTTTTCATAACCTGACTCAAGTTCTAATATCAGTGTTGGTTATAGTAAAAATCATGTTGATTTTGTTTCAAAATTACATTTCAGGCCTATTTATAATGATGAAATATTTACAGATACATCATAAATTTAGATTAGTAGAATTGGCATTTAAAGAAATAAGCCTTGGGGCACCTGGGTGGCTCAGTGGTTGAGTGTCTGCCTTTGGCTCAGGTCGGGATCCTAGGATCGAGTCCCACATCAGGCTCCTCACAGGGAGCCTGCTTCTCCCTCTGCCTATGTCTCTGCCTCTCTCTGTGTCTCTCGTGAATAAATAAATAAAATCTTTTAAAAAATTAAAAAAGTAAAGAAATAAGCTTTCATCATCATTTGTATCAACCACTGCAGTGATGTTTTAGCTTACCATCCAAGTTAAGGTAGCCCTTCGTACCTGATGCTTAACGGATCCACCTGTTCCTGCAGCCTCAAACTGTTCCTCGTCTCTCGCTGAAGGTCTCCTTGTTCCTGCTCATCTTGGGATTACTCTTTATTGGTGCTTAGGGATAGCGGTCGTATGGCGTAATGGTTGAGCATACAAACTGGAGCCAGATGGCTTGATTATCTGCGTCTCACATACTGTGTGATCTCGGGCGAGTTACTTTAACTCACTGTAGCTCAGTTTCCTTGATATCATCAGGTTACTGTAAGGAGTGGAAAAAAGTATATATAAATGATTAGAAGAGGGGCTGAAATACTGTGAACCTTCTATGGGCGTTTGGCACAATTACAGTAATGTTTTGGTGTCCTTGACTTCGTTCAGTGAAGTAGGCTCTGGAGGCTTCCTTCTGAGGAAAGACAGTTGGGGGAAGACTGTAAGTGCTGCCTACTTAACACCTTTTTTTGTCTTTTCAGAAACCAAAGGAAACAAAATGGGCAAAAATCCTCCCAAAAAAGGTTTCCACATTTAGAAGAAATATGTTCTATTCTACTCTGTTTGTGGTTCCCCTTCTCCATGAAGAGATGATTGTTTCAGAGTCTGGCATTAGCCCTGGTTGTTGACAGTGTGCCAGCATCCCCCTCCTAGCCTCACATACCCATTTGGTCCGCACCCCACCTTAGCAAAGCCTTGCTGCTTGTGAAAGCCTCAGTCTCTCATTTGTGCTACAGGCTGAGGCCCAGCTCACCTCAGGAGCCTCGAGTTCTCAGTCACCACCTCACTCCCTCCTACACCTGCCACTCCTCCGACACCTGTCTCTCTCTCCCAATTAACATTTAACTCCTGGTCTGTCTTTAGATGAATGAACCCTCCCTAGATTCCATATCCCCTTTGAGCACTGTCCTATCTTTTCTTTCATATATTTCTTGAAAGACCTCCTAAATTCAGTTACTTCTCAACCCACTCCAGTCTGGCTTCCCTGCTATCAGTTTACCAAAATGGCTGTTATCCAGGTGATGCTTAGCCTCCATGTCACTGAACCCATGGGCACTTTTCAGGACTAATCTCACTTTGACCTTTCAAAAACATTCAGTGTTGACTAATTTCCTTATTGAGACCAATTTTATTCACCATCAGCTCTCTGCTGTCCTGTGGATGGTAAAGTCTTGTGTCTCTGACTCAGGAGTCTCTTGTGTCATGCCAGCATCCATGAAACAGTAACAGTCTAACTTATTAACTTGTAAATAGGGTAAAATGAAATTCCAGACATGACATTAATCATTATATTCCTACCAGCCCCCAAAACACTTGAGATAAAGTAGGTCTTCAATATTTATCTCTGAGGGGGAGGAGTTGGGGGAGGAAGGGATGGAAGGATGGGCGGGCCTTCTCAGCTCTGCTTAAGAGTTGCAAGGATCAACCCTTTCAAAAGAGCCCAATGTGTTCTGGAGTTTTTCTGGGTTGAGGATACCGATATAGGAGTTAGGCACTCTGGGCTTGCAGAGAGGCTTGGGTTCTATGGGTCTCTTGGATGTGTTGTCAGGGTAGGGGAATTAGGAGGTGAGAAAGGGAAGTGGGACAACAGCAAAGGCAAATTTGGTCAGCCTTCAGTTCTGCCCACAGGCCTGGGGCAGTCAGTGAAGTTCAGCTCTGAAGCTGCTGGTGCTGGAAACTTCAGGTAGGAACCGTCCCCGTTAGGACAGCCTGTTCCCCTTTTACGATTAGCATTTTTTAAAAAACAAGACCAGCAGTGTTTTTGCACAATGATTAAAATTGTTTTAGAAACAAAATTGCTTTAGGACAGATAAAAGTGAAGGAAGGAATAACAATGTTGTAACTACAAAAATTTATTAGACTAGAAGCTGAATAATGTGTATAAAGGCAGTCTTTAGGTGGCAGAGGGTTTTTTGAGATGGCAAAGGTAACAAGAATTATCTTGGGTTTGACTGGATCAAGCATTCTCAACCAGGAGGGTATCACCCCTAAGAGGGTGAGAACTGGTTCATGGGGGACCAGAAAGAACTTGGGTATTCAATGATTTGTGCCCAGGGGCCATAAAGAGAAATACAGTATAACTGTGGTGTTAGAATTTCATGGTGGGGAGGCAGATTAGGAAAAGATGTCTAAAAAGTCTCCTTAAAGGGACAATAATGGAAAAAAAGGGGTTGAAAACTAGATGAATTTCACTGAACTAGATGATTCAAATGGAAGAATGCTGTTGATCACCAATGAATCCTCCTGGGAAAATGAATTAGAAATAAGTGCATTATCCTGACGGAAGGAAAAAGACCTTACACATTGCCTAGGAATGTGGGAAATAGAAAATAAAACCCACTGGGAAATATAAAAGTAGCAGTGGGCAGCTGGGATATCCCCCACAGCTGCTCAACAGATGATGAGCCGCTGTCTCTGTAGATATCAGGGCCCAGGACACTGGGCTGATGGCCTGAGCCACACTGCGCCAGCCCCCGGACAAGGTGCTAGGAGCTGACACAGCTGGGTGCGAGCCAGGATTCAGTTCACCCACCCACCTCCCACCCTCCCGATCTGTTTTGTTTTCCCTTGTCTATCTCCCTTCCTACTGTCCTCTCACGACTCCCGTCATTCATTCCTTCAACAGGCTGGGGAATCAGGAGCAATGTTAATGAATGAAAGAAAAGAATGCCAGAAACAGAGAACCACAGGCTGACATCAAAGAAATGACCTCCAGCCATATGATTGTACGTAGAAGGCCAGATAGTACATGCTGACATCTGTGAAATCAAATCACAATGCAAACAGGCTTTTGGCCTCCCTCATCCACATTTCTGGGTATGACACGGATATGCAGTTCCTTAGCAAAATAAAAATGAAAGACGATGTCAAGTACGGGGAATACATCTTATCCCAGAGGTATTCAGCCTTGGAAATGGCTTCTGGCTCGAGGCTGCTTAACAGTCCCGAGCTTGTTATCAGTCTGAAAATGGTGGTGGTGTTTCGGAGGGGCTCTGAAGGACAGGGATGATGGCCCAGCACGGGCCCCTCTTTTCTTTTGCCTTAATCCTGGTGCTCATGAAGGCAGTGCTGGAAGGAAAATGTTGTGATCAGATAATAAGAGTTACTATTCTGGAACCCTTACTACAGGTTAGGTACTGTCTTACGTGCTTTACGTATATTAATACACTCCGTTAACCAAACAACCCTCTGAGGGGAATACTGTTATTAGCGTGGGAAACCCAAGCAACAGAAAAACTCAGCTACTTGTTCAAGGTCACATGACTACCCAGTCGTACTGAGATTTGAACCTCAATCCTCAGGGCCCAAGGACTTGCAGTCAGTACTACTCTTTACTGAGCCTTCACCGACTCTGCTTACCCATGTCTTTGAACACAAGGATGAATGGACTTGAAACGAAATTGCTTCTTTCACTGTGTATTTGGTATGGAGTCTTCATTAAAGGACAATGTGTCGGTCACGAGGCCCCCAGCACAGCTGGACCCTTGGGGGCCACTGACTGAATGGATTAGTTGCTTGCTGGACACATGCTGCCCTCTTGTGATGAGAACCATCCAAATAGGATCTTCTCCAGCTGTCTGGAATGCACCTACTTCCTTCCTTTGGTCCAGATCCATGGTTGGGGGGTTGGAGGATATGTGGCCAATGAGGAAGCTGTGGGCTCTGGAGAGTCAGACTCGCATCACCCAGCCTTCTCCAGAGCGTTCCGAGCCTTGTGACTCTTGGTGACGCTTGTAAACATGACTCCAGAGTCTTGTAACTTTTAGCACCAGGGATATAAGAGACTTTTCTTATTGTAGGCTTCCTGAAGAATCCCAGGGACACTGCAGAGACCTCATCTGTGGTCTTAGGACGAGTTTATTTTGTTTAGGTTGCCCTAGTGGATTGGACCAGATTTACCTGATTTAGCAGGAAGATGGTGAGTTGCAGAATGAACTGAAGGTCATAAACTATTAGAACAGAGGGAGGGACGCCTGGGTGGCACAGTGGTTGAGCATCTGCCTTTGGCTCAGGGCGTGATCCTGGGGTTCAGGGATCGAGTCCCACATCGGGCTCCTTGCATGGAGTCTGCTTCTCCCTCTGCCTGTGTTTCTGCCTCTATGAAATCTGTCATGAATAAATAAATAAATAAATAAAATCTAAAAAAAAAAAAAACCAAAAAAAAAAAAAACGGGAAAACCAAACCACAGAGACCTGTGTTCTAGTTCGTGCTCTACCAGTAATATGCTATGTGACCTTGGGCAAGTTGCTTTTGCTTCAACACGTTTCCTCAGTGGTAGAGTGTGGGAATTGAATAAATGAGCTCAAAAGCTCAGGTGTTGCCAGCTGTGGCTTTCTACATTTGCCAAAATCCCTTTCCTGAAGGGTTTTTCTCCCCTACCTCAGCCCACCACACACACGAACACATTTTTATGCACATCCTGATTAGTAAGAAGAGCTGCACCCATAGTCACAGGTTTTTAGTTTCCCTTGTTCATGAAGTCATTCCTACTTTGTAGGGTTGTTGGGGAGAGAGAGCTTCCGTTTGACCCAGTATTAATGGGTCCAGTCAGACTAGGTCTGTTCAGGCAAAGCAAGGACATAGATACGTCTATATAAATTTTTTAAAACTGATTTTAAAGATACTGATACCTACACTAATGAATTACTATCTTGCATGGTACCAGTTTCAAACAGATACTGATATATGGATCATTCATTCTTTCCTAAAGTTGTAGTGGTCACCAGTGCCAGTCTGTAGCTATAATCTGTAGGGTGGGGAGGCAGGGGCAGTGCCTAAACACTGTCTAGGGTCAGGGCCCAGGACACATTGCTGGCTTCACGTGACCTTGTTCTGTAATCTCCACCTGCTTCCAGACAATTTAGTACACCCCTAGACTCTATGGGCTGACACAGGTTGGAAAATGAAAATTTCATAGCAAGAAACTTTGACTTGATAATCCCACTCCGAAGAAATAATCCTAAAGAATTTTCTACTTCCACAGAAATGTTGTATAAAATAATCACCACCAAACCAATCTGGAAGACAGGATTTCTAACATTTGGAGCATAATTAAGCAGACCAACAATACGAATGATCATTATAAAGCCTATGTAACAATATGGGAAAATGCACCTGAGGACATTATGCTAGGTGAAATAAGCCAGAAATAAGCCAAAATAAGTTTGTTTTACAGAAACAAAAACAAACACTGTGTGATCCTACTTATGAGATACTTAAAATCCTTGAGACAGGGTGGTTGCCAAGGGCTGGGCAGAGGGGAGAATGGAGAGTCATTTAATGGGAGCACAGAGTTTCAGATTCTAAGAAAATTCTGGAACTGGATGGTGGTGTTGGTTGCACATTATGAATATATTTAATACCATTGAACTGTACATTTCAACATAGTTAAGATGGTAAATTTTATGTGTATTTTACCACAATAAAAAAATTGGGGGAAATGTCATAGAGTAAGCAAAACCTGGGAAGATGACGCGCAAAAAGTTAAAGTAACTTACTACTGTGTTATTTATAAGCATTATTTAAAAAATTTCCTTTAATATTGTGATACTGCTTTTTGTAATAAAAAAGCACTGGCAGGGAAAAAACCAAGGAAAAAACTTTGAGACCTTTTGATACTTGTTATTTCCTCCCCCCCCAAAAAAAAAAACCACCCAAGTAGTCATGGGAAAAACTTGTTTAACATCCTTGCACTTATTTTATGATTTACTGTTGTTTAAAAAAATTTTTTATTACAGATCACTGGGGACCCATAACCTTTTCAGTGCTTAGCGCCTCTAAAAGTTTTAAGCTGGTCTTGGGTGTAGTCAATTCCAGTTCGAGGCTGGGAGACTCATGCTGGGATGGCCCGGGGGACCCTGCTGCTCTGCTACAGCACGTCTGTGGTACCTCGGCCTCCTCGCCAGCAAATTCCATTTTCATTGAAATTCCTCTCTCTGGACCCGGAATGATGATCCTGGTTTTGCCTTTCAGCTCCAGGGCAAGGGCTTTTGTCTGTAAGCGAGCACTCAGTTACCGGAAATAGACATGCAGCACACCTGGAAATGGACCAAAATATCCAGGAGGCAAATGCTTCCAGAAGGGGACACCGGTAGAAAGCTCCTGGGCTCCTGCTCCATTCTTTACTGCTTGAGGACGACATGGCTGTGCCTCCCCCTCAGTTTGGTGAGTAACACTTGAATGGGTACAGGGCTCCTTGGTGATCATGATGGAAACTGAGGGCTATGCCTTTCTCTGTCAAAGCCAGACTATTCTAAGCAACGTGATGGGGAATATTCTTGGACCTGACCTGGAGAACTTCCAGGCCCATACGTAACCCCATCAGGAAGTTCCCTAAGCCTCCCAGCTGAGAAGGGCACCCCCCAGGGGGTTCCACTGAGCTGAAAGGAACAGCAGTGGTTACAGTGACTAGCATGGGCTGACCCAGGCCCCACCACTGCACCACCTGCTTTCCAGAATGTCTGAGCCTCACAGCCACCCCGGGGATCAGTGCTGGGATTCCCAGTTTTCAAAATGCAGGTTGAGCTTCTGACAGCCTTACCACCCGGCCCAAAGCCACCTGGTGACTTGACATGGCTTTTCTTTTCTTTCTTTCTTTATTTTCTTGGTAAGTTCTGAGTCAGCACAGACATGCCATAACCGTATGTCTGAAATGTGGGAGCTGTCGTTTCTTTCCCAAACCAACCAAAATGTCCCGTGGGAAGAGAGAGTCCTATCCTAGGTTTGTGGAATTTTTTTTTTTTTTTCAATTTTCAATGGTCTTTCTTTTGGTTAGGAAGTGTCTCCTCTTGTCTGCATAGAAGCTCACCAGTGAGTAATGGAGAACCCTTCTGGCAAGTTAGGAGACTGAGGGATAGAAAATCCGTTGTTCACCATCTAGAAGACCAGAAGTATTTCCAAGTAAAATTTAAGCCAACACTACACAAATTCTAATTTCCTTAAATTTAAGTAATCTGTAAAGGCAGTACTATTTGGTAGTTTCTGAGTAAACTTTAGTCTCTCAAAAGTTTAGTTTTAGTGGTTTAATGAAATCTGAATCTGTCAGCTGTGAAGTACAGTTCTTTGACTCAGGAGGTCATCAGCTCACCACGCTCATTCCATACCTCTTGCCTAAAATCTCTAATCGGGAGAGAGTTGCTGCCTCAGGGAGTAACTATTGAGTGAATACTCAGGTCTGGGGTGAGAGGAGGAATAGGTCAGAAGGTTCCCCTTACTTAGTGGAACTTCCTCAATCGCATGCCTCCTGACGGGCTGCTATACAAAGCCAGACTGGACCTCAGAATTCAGAGGTACTGTTGGAAGGTCCCCTCATCCCTTCCCCTCTCGTGTTTGGTCCTTATCAGCTTGGTGCCTCTTGCCACGGTGGGTGACAGGTCCACTCAGCAGTGAACAGCCACGGAAGGTAATGGACGTTGAGCCTGGCCTGCCCTACCGTGGCATAATGGTGAGGGCTGTGGAATTTGGCCCATGAGGTCGATCCTGGCCCTAGCCATCCCTGACCAAGTCTGCTCCCCTGGGAAGCCAGCTGTATGGATTCAGAGGTCAGATGGAGGAAAAGGCCACAGTTGCTTCCTTGGCTTTTTTTTTTTTTTTTTTTTGGTCCCTTGGTAGGTGGAGAGGCCTGCAAAGGACCATAACAATGACACGCCTGGCCTTCCTTCACCAGGCTCTTCACAGCACCACACGCCAGGGCCCCACCCAACACAGTGATTATCTCTGAAGGGAGCCAGGCATGGAGTCCAGGGATGCAGCATGCTTATCAGGCTAAATTCCCTTTTAAAAGTCCCAGACACAAGGGACTAGGGTGGCCCATTTGGTTAAGCGTCAGCCTTTGGCTCAGGGGATTGAGCCCCGAGGGGGAAACCTGCTTCTCCCTCTCCCCCTCCCCCTGCTCATGCTCACTTGCTCATTCTCAAGTAAATAAAATCTTTTAAAAATAATAAGGGATGCCTGGGTGGTTCCGTGGTTGAGCGTCTGCCTTTAGCTCAGGTGGTGATCCCGGGGTCCTAAGATCGAGTCCCACATCAGGCTCCCCACAGGGAGCCTGCTTCTCCCTCTGCCTGTGTCTCTGCCCCCCCCCCCTGTGCTCTCATGAATAAATAAATAAAAATACTTTTAAAAATAATAAAAATCTTAGACTAGGGCAATTAGAAATATTTTCAGTATTTTATTAAATGAATTGGCAAAAGAAACGAGTTATCTGGTAATATCACTGCCCCCTCCTCCATTTAACATCCAGCACATAACTGCCATGATGGTCACTGTAACATGCTCTGCTGGCTGGGTTCTCAGCAACCACAGCCTAAGTCCACTTGGGTCATCCTCACTACTATTCCAGGGCAGGGAAGAGACTCTCTTCCTCACGAGGGCAAGAGACAGGGAGAGAAGCTTCTGTTTAGACACCAGGGCCAACAAAGGCAAGCCAGGCCTTCTGCCTTTTGGAAGATGGGCACGGTTCTTCCTCAGGCCCGCCCTTATCATTCTTCCTGAGCAGAAACTCAGCATGATGAGGACATCACCCTATCTCTTAAGCCTGCTTAGGGGGTACCCCGTGATCTCTATCAACAGACCCTGAGACTCCAGGAGTAAAACAAAAGCCTACGAAGAGCCCTTGTTTTGGCAAAACGGTGGACATATCAAATCCTGACTCTGCGCACTCCTCAGTATCCACAGCTGTGATGTGGGCAGACGGTCAACGTGTGGGGAAGACCTGAGGAGGAAGAGAATTTCCAGGTAAAACACTTGTTCGTTGAGCACCTTTTCTCCAAGAAGCTTGGCACCAACTCTAAACCATGTCCTCAACTCTTCCATGAAGGCAGCATGACCAACTCACTGCCCTGGACCTGAGGGCCGTGTTTGAGCTCAGTCTTCCTCTAACGTCCGATAAAAATAACCCTGGATGTGCTTACGCCTCTTCATAGTGTATTTACAGTAACTAAAATGGCTCTCCAGGCACACTCCTGCCCTGTAAAATTGTAACAGCTATACAGGGAGGCTCATCTGGGTCATCGAGGCAGCAGGCTCTCCCGGACCCCCCACATAGAAGTGGCCTCTCAGAAGCAGATAATCCTCTTCTCATCTTCAAAGACTTTGGCCTCCTCTGGCTTTATCAAGTTTCCATTTAGGCTGTCGGAGAAAAAGAACACAGGTAAAATGTTAAGAACTCGTAGGGAGCCTTGCCAGTGCGTGTTCCTAACAGACTCTGATTCTTCACGTGGCCCCGAAGTGAAGGAACGTGCTCTACTCAGACACTTGTTTGATAACATTACTCCTTCCCAGCTATCGTCACTCTCTGAACTGGCTCTCACTAAGGTCACCAATTAGCCTCTGTGACCCTGAACTTAATGACATCTCTCAGAACCCGTGTGTCCTTCACAGGCATTTGGCTGTCCTGCCCTCTGCCTCCTTGAAACCCCACACTCGCTTGGTTTGGTATTACGCTCTCTGGTTTTCTCCTCTGTCTGACACTCCATCTCCGTCTCCTCTCCCATGTTCTCCTGCATGTAGCTTCTACATACTGGATTTCCTCCAGGCTCCCCAGCGATTGGTCCCCCAGGCGACCTCATCCCTACATCATTGGACTTGCAGCCCAGACCTCTCCTGTGTGGCTCCACCTACCTCAGCATCTTCATCTGGATGCCTTGCAGGCACCTCAAGGTGGCCATACCTGCCTAGGGCCCCTCACTCGGTGAGTCGGACCCCTCTTCATCCAGCTGTGCAAGTTAGTGACCTGAGGATCAGCCTTGACTCCTTCCTCCTCATCTTCACATTCTGTCATGGAGTTCTCTCTTTAAACATCCCCAGAATGCCTCCCTGGAACTGTCCCCATCCTCACCACCATCATGGTGGTCTGAGTGCCATCACCTCTTCTCTAGATGTCTGCAGTGTCCTCCTGACTGGTCCCTTTACTTGCACTCTTCTGGCCCGTTCCAATCCATTTTCCTGGAGGACCTAGAGTGCTTTTATATATATATATTTTTTTAAGATTTATTTATTTATTTATTCATGAGACACAGAGAGAGAGAGGGAGAGAGGGAGGCAGAGACACAGGCAGAGGGAGAAGCAGGCTCCATGCAGGGAGCCCGACATAGGACTCTATCTCAGGTCTCCAGGATCAGGCCCTGGGCTGAAGGTGGCGCTAAACCACTGAACCACCCAGGCTGCCTGAGTGCTCTTTTTATAATGCAAATCTGGTCATCCTCTGCTTCAAACCCCTCCATGACTTTCCATTGGTTTTGGGATAAAGACCAGTATATGTAGCATGACCCACAAACGTCTTATGTTCTATTGTGCCTCATCTCCTCTGCCCCCTGTTGCCTCTTCTTCCATACTGTCTGAGCCCCAGGGCACATCAACATCTCACTATTCTTCAAGGATACCGTGCTCCTCTGTCCTGCCTCGGAGCCTCTGCATATGCCGTTCCCTCTACCTGGAACACTTTCCCCTCACCTCAGCAGACTAACCCCTATTCAGTCTTCAAGGCTTAGCTTCAATACCACTTCCTTAGGGAGAAGTTCCCTGAACCGTCATCTGTATTAGGTTCCCTTCTTAGCTTTCTCCTTAGAGCATCATGAATGATTTTTTCTTTCTTGTGCCTGTCACTAGGTAGTGAACCTCTGAGGGCAGGTCCATTTCGGTCACCACTAGATGGTGCTAGCACAGTATCTGGCACTCAGACACTTGGTCATTCAGCCAATAAAGTCGCTCAGCTCGGGACAAGAAGTGACCACTGTATTTTTTTTTTTTTTTAAAGAAACCACCCACAGGCCCCAGGTTAAGGCCCCATCTCAGGAAGCTGGGACTTAATACCTCATCTAACTGCAGTTCCACGTCCCCAGGAATACCACCTTTAGCCAGGCCACAGGACCAGGAAATTTCCTGAGAGACCCATTCTGCGCCCCTCAGGAGGGCAACCTTGCCTACACAATGCATTCCTGACCAGTCAATTCCCTTTTTTTTAATGCTCTGAGTCCTCCGGGTTTGTGCCCTCCTTGCTGCCCCCTCGCTGCTCACCTAATGGGTCAACAGGGTGGTGTAGATGAGGGGCTCTCACGGAGCACCAGGCCTGAGCCCTGGGCCAGTCCACGCTGGGATCCCTCCCTTCCCAGCTCCCATGCATAGTCCCCACTTAGTGGGCTTTGCTGTTCTCATCCCTTCCCCATTTGCAGTGGGCAGTCCCACCATGGGGAATGCTGGGCCAGCCCATGCTGTGCACTGCCCTCTCTGGGCCAGTCGCAGGTTAAGGCCCCGTGGTGACAGCCCCGCTGGGTTAAGGTGCGCAGGTGCGCACGTTTAAGGGTCTTGTTTTGTGTAAACAAAGGCTTGTTAGCTAATGGGATCCTTAAATTCTGAAGTGTCAAACATGCCACCTCCCGGCACACCTGCTCATTTTATGTCTAAACTCTATGGTGCCAGAAGCTGTATCTAGAGAAATGGCAAAAGTTTGCTAAAAACAACCTAGAAGTACAATGGCCACAATGGGGGACGTTCCCATTAGATAAATGGTAGTTGAAGAAGTGTGTTTGAAAGCCTGGGTTCCCAAAATAAACCAAGCGGGATACCAGTTTACACTGGCCAGCAGAAGCTCCAGAAGTTTTCAAAATTCCAAAATCTTTTCATTAAAAGATTAATTAAAAGTATTTGGCAAAAGGCTAAAGAAAACAAAAGGTGTAAGAGGTCCCTAAAACGAGGTTCCAGTAACTCCCCTCTGTCCTCTCATTCTACTAATCCTCTGACTGCTTTGTCTTCCCTCCCACCCCCGAAAAAATGCCACCAGAAACCAGATTCACCTTACAGGCGCCCCCCCATATGGACCATTCTCAGAGTTAACGAAACCAGAGGATTTTTTTGGTGAACTGCTACATTATTCCCTTAGACAGCCAAGAGGAAACTCCAGTAGAGAGCAGAGCTCCCACAGGGGACCCTGGAAGGACTGGCAGCGGAGGGTGAAAATGCTGCGCAGAATCACTTCTCCTGGATGTGCCACAGGGCCCAGTGCAGAGGGAAAAGCAAACCATCCATCACCCTTACCTTCCCGAACCCAAACCCCTTGTTCCCTGATCCCCTCCCTCCCAGGGGCAGCCGTCACCCTCTTCCTTCCTCATCTGGTTTTGTGCAACCAGGCCTGGCTCTCTGCCTGCCTGGCACCGGCAGGTGATTGGTTCTTTCTTTTGACTGTCTTCTGGGAGTGACTGGATTTTGGGAAGGTAATATCCTTTGCACCCTCTTTGGGAACCCAGCTTAACACCCAAGGGGAGTTGTTATTCAGGACTGCCAGAAATATCTGAAATTAAAATATGTGCCCAGAGGGAAAGAAATGGATGGAGGATAATGTAGTTGGGGTAGGCCAGTCAACCTATGATGTCATTCAAGTTAGAGCCCAATTCCTTGAGAAATTGAGGGCAACTGTCCTTATCTGCCTTTTTTTTTTTCAAAGTAAAAGTTCGCTCCAGGCACAATTCAAAATTCACCTATTCCTTTACCTATTCCAAAACTTCCCTTATGTATCTCAAAAGACTCGTAAATGATTGGTCTTGGGAAAACCCAAGTCCTTCTTCCAGGAACTTACATTCTTTCCCTGTCCCTTGAAGTTCTACATCTATCACGTCTTTGAAATGTAAACAGCCCACAGTTACCTGAGTCAGAGAAAAAAGGAAAAAAAGAGGCCTTTCGAAAATACAGACTGCTTTAAAAGGGCTGTTGTGACCAAATTCTAGCACAGCCTCCGTAAGCTTGATTCCACGGACAAATACAAATCTTAAAACCTCTTCTCCACAGATACTAGTAACTACAGGGTCTTTGCCTCTGTGTGTCTGTATGTATGTCATAAACGTGAGATCGTGTTTCTGGGTGATATTACTAAAATCAATTTGTAGAAGAGCTCTAGTCAGTTGCTTTTGTAGGGGCCAAGGGCAGGCTGCTCCAAAATGGGCCACTGTGGCATATTGATTATTTTAAATAAAACGTATCTAAGAGGCAACCTGTATAAGGATACTCAGAAAGCAGGGAATAATTCGCCAGGTGAAAGTCACCCTCCCTCTACGAGAGAGGTAGAGACCTTGTTATCACCAAAGCTAGGAAGTTTAGAGCCAAGAAAGCTATCTAAAAACAACCCTTGTTAATTTTTTACAGATTTAATATCACACCCCAAATTCTGCCTAGAACTTCTTCCTAATTGGAGCTCCCAAAGTTCCATTTTCTTGGTCCTATCAATTCCTCATTAATTTATTTCTGGTTTCTGTCTAAAAAGTATAAAAACTACCCACCTTAGTCATTTCTTTAGCTCTCAATTTCATTATTGGCCCGCTTGTGCACACGTAATAAAACTTGGGTTTATTCCTCTGGTTAATCTGTTTTATGTAAAGTTAACTCTCAGTCCAGCTGGAAGACCTTGAAGGGTAGGGGAAGAATTTTTCCTTCCCTTTGGTTGGCACAGTGGGCAGGATACTAATCTCCGTTCTGCTGCAACATGGAGACCCTGGAACATCTGCCATCCAGCCAGCAGAAGGGACGATTTCTGATGGCATCAGCCTCCTGGCTTCTCGCAGGGTCTGGTGGAATGAGAGGGGTGAGAATCTTTCTTTCTCTAACTTAGGTTAGCAGGAGAAAATACTATAGAACTAGTTCCTTGGGCTTAGTGACTATTGGTGAAAATTTGGTAGCGTACTCTTTGGTTACTGATCATTCCCTCCCAGAGATGGTCACTGTTGTCTATTATGTTGAGTGTCACAGAAAGGACTTCTCACAGGACTGAATGTAGGCTTCGGCCCTATAAGCCTGCTGTGTAGCCGGCCTCACAGACTGGTGAGGTCACGGTTCTCCTCAGACCAGTGTCTGTTTAGACAAACTTTGCTGTGGGTTAACATGAACACGAGGTAAAGGATGTTACTGAAGAAACATCTTGGAAGCCCAAGCTACAAAATTGGTGGTCACGGGTCAGCACTTAGAAGCTGTTAGAGTGCTTATCATTAAACTCAAAGACTTCCCGTTAGGATAATTTGGCCATGGAATGGGTTAGATTCATACTCGGTCCCCTGCTGGCTTCAAGAAAATGTCCATGCAGCAAGGTAGATGGTAAAACACCCCAGAGTCCCCAACCTCAAGGCATATCCCTTCTAGGTATTGATTTGGTACCCAGAGACCCAAGGCTTAAGGCAGGGCTGTTAATGTGAATATAAGAGATTTTTCCTTTTGTTCTGTGTCCTAAGAGCTTGGCCTTGTGACCAGTGAGAATATTTTCTCTGGTCTCTGCCAGTCGGGAGGGCATACTTACTAGGGTGCGTCTTGGCGGCCAGTCCAATAGACCGGGGACGCAAGATGCACAGTTACAAGCAGCACTCTCTGTCCAGCCATGCCAGCTCTAAGGAAAGTTTCTTACAAAAAGATCCCAGCCCATAAGGGGCCTTTGTTGCTTCAACCTTCGTTGCTCCTTAGTGCTGGAAAAATCTCATCCCATTAGCACCTGCCTGATGTCACAGATTAATTAGCAGGTCTGTGACTAGAGGCATCTCACACTCGTGGGAGACCAGAGGCACCGTAACACCACCTCGTTCTTATGGCCTGTAAAACGAAGGTGTTTGCTTTCTCAGACTATTCTTGGGAGTAAGCTGTTGGATCATGGGAGCTGCATCATCTGTGCTCTCTCTAGGGATGCCTCTTGGGTCTTTGTTTAAGCTGTTGGGTTTGAATCACTATTGAAATCGGTAAGATCCTATTTGTCAATGGCCAGACACTAGGTCCTTTAAATTGGCTGTTTGAAAGCAGAAACTCATCTATAAAGAGCTCTCAATTGTCTTTTTAGTATATAATGGCTAGTCTTAGGGATTCCCTGGACAAGATAAAAGGACAAAAATTCAACTTAAGACAGATAAATGTCTATATCCCCTTCTTAAAATCCAGCCCAACCTCTAGATTCAAAGTACACAGGCTACTTTTATAAATCCTAAAAGCCAGAAGGTGAATTTCACAGAAGCACCTGGGACAAACAGAAGGGCATGGTTTACTGGAATTGACCCATCAGCCTCAGACATTTTTATATGCTCACGTTTGCAGGTGGATCCTAGACCCCGTCCCCCCACCAAAAAAATTCACGTCCACAGATCTTTTACAAAGCCCTTTTTCCTCTAGTTTCAGAAGATCCTATCAAGCTTAGAGAAACATTTAAAAGATTTGACTATTCACAACCCCCCTTCACAGAGGAAAGAGATGACCAATACAATTTCTCCTAGGCCCTCCTACGAATGATCAGAAGGCTATGTTGAGAGGCTAAGAGAAGCCAAGGCTGAACTGTGTAACCGTGAAGAAGGCTTTTGTTAAAATGCTTTATACAGACTGTACAAAAGCATAAATCTTTTGATTCCCATTTTAGTTAAAACTCCCCTTGATACAGAGAAGCAAATTTAGTTAAAAGGTTGGCCAGTCAGGCACCTGGGTAGCTCAGTGGCTGAGTGTCTGCCTTGAGCTCAGGTGGTGAACCTGGGATCCTGCGATCGAGTCTCACATCGGGCTCCCTGTGGGAAGCCTGCCTCTCCCTCTGCCTATGTCTCTGCCTCTTTTTCTGTGTCTCTCATGAATAAATAAAATCTTAAAAAAAAAAAAAAAAGGTAGGCCAGTCCCTTGATATTCGGCCTGGAATCTAGTTTTATGGGGGAAATTAAAAACAACTGTCTTTGTCTTACAAATCTCTATAAAACCAGAAATGAAACTCTAAAAATAAGTCAAAACCCACCTATCTTTACCAATCTCCAAAACTCACCTGTTCCTCTCAAAATACTTATGCATATTACCAAGGTCAGGATATTGGAACAAAATTGCCCTGTACTTAAAGAGAAAAAAAGGTAAAAAAATTTTCCCCCCAGAGGAATCAAGCATTTTATTTTTTTATATTTTTAAGATTTTATTTATTTATTCACGAGAGAGAGAGGCAGAGACACAGGCAGAGGGAGAAGCAGGCTCCATGCAGGGAGCTCGATGTGGGACTCGATCCCGGGACTCCAGGATCACACTCCTGGGCTGAAGATGGCACTAAACTGCTGAGCCACTGGGGCTGCTGGCATTTTATTTTAAATAGAACAAGGAAGCACTCACTTATTCTCTCCTTAAATCTATATTCAGGCAGAGCTAATATTCAGGCCTATATAAGAAAATACTGCCCTGATAGTTTCCAGAACATTATTTACCATTCTGGTCCCAAGCTGCTGAGATTTAAAATCACTTTTGGTAATGAACCACAGGATGGTAAATAAACAAGACTCCAACCACATCACTTTGAATTTCTTGATATCTTGTCTTGTGTTCTATCACCCATCAGAACAATTCAGCTTCCTTGAAACATTTGAATAGATGTGTGTCCAAGAACCTAGCACCACGTTTTTAAAACTGAGGAAGTTACCTGTGCAAGTCAGAATCTAATATCCATTACATAGTGACAGCTTGGCCAATAAATAAGAATATGTTCTTTCCGGCAGCCCGGGTGGCTCATCGGTTTAGCGCCGCCTTCAGCCCAGGGTGTGACCCTGGAGCCCAGGGATCAAGTCCCACATCGGGCTCCCTGCATGGAGCCTGCTTCTCCCTCTGCCTGTGTCTCTGCCTCTCTTTCTCTCTATGTCTCTCATGAACAAATAAATAAAACCTTAAAAAAAAAAAAAAAGAATATGCTCTTTCATGGCTAGGAAGAGAGACTGCCACGCTGACATGTTAAAAAAAAAAAGTCGATTTTAAGTCACAATTACCCCAAAACTCTTAGAAATAAAGTATTTTTGCATTATTTTTCTATTCCTGTAAATCAAATCTTATCTCACTTTTGAAATGTGAACATAGCCCACCATTGCCTGAGGCTGAAGGAAAAATCGGAAGGGAAGAGAAGAGGCCTTTTTAAAATACCAACAGCTAACAGGGCTCTGGTGCCCACTCTAGCGCCTCTGATAATAGGCAGATACGCTCCAAATCTCCACCTTGGACAAAGCTTGGATACCTTCTCCATACATTTTCCACCCCCATCTTCTCTAGGACTTAGGTAGGAACCGTTCTTTGAAATGCAAACTTGAGAGGGAAGTTTTTCATCAGAAAAAGGGAGAGAGGGAGGAGGTATTTGGAAATTGGGCATGTAATCTCTCTACAAACATTAGTAAAACCAAAAGCTAGAAGATTCTGTTTGCATCTGGTCTGTGTATTTGTTGTGTGTGTGTATCCAATGTGTTGTAAATGGGAGATATTTTCTATACTTCTGGATGGTGTGGCTAAAATTAATTATAACAGAGCTCTATTTAGTTTGTCTAAAGGCAAACGCTAGTAAGAACTGGACATTCTAAAACTCAGAGAGCTAGGGGCTTGCCTGAGTGGCTCAGTCAGTGAAGCGTCCGATTCTTGATTTCAGCTCAGGTCATGCTCTCAGGGTCATGAGAGGGAGCTCTGCGTCCAACTCACTGGGAGTCTGCTTGAGATTCTCTCTCTCCCCCTGTCCCTGCCAACCCACCCCCCACCCAGGCCTGCATACATTCTCTCTAAAATAAATCTTCAAAACTCAGAAAGCTAGAAACTAACCCAAATTTTTTTTTTAATTCACATGATCTGGGAAAATATTTGGTATTAAAACTAAAGTTATTGGTTTAATTAAAATAGACCTGTCTTTAATCAGCATTAAATATAAAACTTTTACCTGCCTGTGTTTACTGAAAGTCAAATGGGTTTCATGTTCTCTCTATTGCAAAATCTGTCAGAAAAAAAAAAAAAACAGAATAATGGTTAAGTTTGTCTAATGCCTCATGAGGCTTTATGAGTGGTCCAGATATAATTATTAAGAACAAGTAAATTAAATAGATGTAAAGATTAAAAGGTTTCTAGGTAAACTTTCTAAGTAGATTCCAAAATCTTTTGAGTAGTAACCCAAAAACTTTGAAGTTTTGCTAAATTAAATGGGTAGTTCAATTCACTGAGTATCTAGATCATTGCCAAATAAGAAAAATTAATACAAGATTAAGTATTAATAAAGGTTAACTACTTTCACCTTTAGTTTCTCTGTATAAGACAAATTTGAGTCTGTTAGCAAAACCTGTTTTGTGCTATTGTACTATGAAGAAACATGTTTCTAAATTACGAAATGTATTCATAAATTTGTTATTCTAGGGGTGCCTGCCTAGCTCAGTCAGTGGACCATGCGATTCTTGATCTCTCAGGGTCATGAGTTCAAGTCCCACATTAGGCATAGAGCTTACTTCAAAAAAAAGTAAGAGAAATTAAAAGTAATTTTTTTAATTTGCCAATCTAAAGAATTCTGATATAACAGTAAGCAGTTGTAAACTACTTACTTTTCACTAGAAATTAAGGTTTCTAAGAGTTAAGAATTCTAATAAATGTAATTAAGGCTACTGAAAATAAGAGAGACAAATCTATATACAGGACAAGTAAGATATGTGTTTTTGATAAGAAAAAATAGGAATAAAAGCACATTCTTTGTAGTGGAAAAAGAAATAAATTGGTCCTGAAGTGAGGCTGAAAACTTAGGGCAAAATCTGAATGTAAAAAAAAAAGTTGTAGAAGGTTTATGGAAAAGAAATCTTTGGAAAGAAGTTTTCTGTGTGGCCAGTACTGGGTAACAGTAAATTTAAGTAAATGAGTTTTATTATCAAAAGTACACTGGTACAAAATTAGGATTATTTTCTCTGTGTTAAAAGGACAAAATTTTCTTGGTCTGCTCTTAGTAAGAAATTATAAGCAAAAGTTTTTCTTTACCTTTAAAGGATGCTGCGTTTTGCCAAAATAATTTCCTATGTTTGTCAGGCCTTTCATTATTTAAATAAAACTGAGTCTTAATATTAAAAGGGCTAAATTTTGCTTACAACTATGTAAACTTCTATTGGCCTTTATAATCTTTTATTGTCACTTTGGTTAAATGGATAATTAACTATTGTTTTATAATGATTCGTGTTCCTACTTAACCAAATGTCCAAACCTTTTATATTTTTTGACATAACTTCCCAAAATCAAATTCTAAAATGAAGTCGTTCCGACCACAATCTTAATTGAAATTTTCCAGAGGGCTCCTTGCACATTTCAGAGATTTTGTGAGTAATTAATTAGGCTTGTTTGTTATTGTGTTTAATCATATGGACAGCACTGTCAAATAAGTGCTACCAAAATTTATATAGATGTTGGTTATCAAGATAAGTGTTCTAAAAATTATATGAAACTCCAAACAATCTGATAAGTCCTGGTATGTTATTATCTTAAAGCATTATATGTCACAGAAATAACCAAACATCCTTGCCACTTGCATCATAATAAACTCTAATCATATCTTTAACCAAATGGCCATTTTTAAGACTTCTGTCATTTACAGTTATACTTTTCACACTCAGATGCTTTTTTTTTTTTTTTAGAGACAAATGGTTTATTTGGGAACAAGAAGTAAAAAGGAATTTTTAATTCCTCTTCTCTATTCTCGTAGCTGAACTGAACTGTGATCGTCAAATGGACAGCAACACACGAGCACTCCCCTGCAGTCCTTGAACTTGTGCAAGATGCAGAGAGGCCTGAGTTACAGGACTTGCAGTGATCCTTTTCTAGACAGAAGTGCCAGCTGTCGTGCTCTGTAATGTTTCAGGGGTAGCTCCACTGTCTTTCTTGTCTTCGGGTTTCATGGCAGGAAACAGAAGTACTTCCTTGATGTTATTGGAGTCTGTGAGAAACATGGTGACACGGTCGATGCCCATGCCCCAGCCAGCGGTGGGGGGGGTAGCCCGTATTCCAGAGCAGTGCAGAAGTTCTCATCTATGAACATGGCTTCATCGTCGCCAGCAGCTTTGGCCTTAGCCTGTTCTTCAAATAGCTGCCGCTGCCGCTGCCGCACAGGGTCGTTGAGCTCGGTGTAGGCGTTGCAGATTTCCTTCTTCATGACAAACAGCTCAAAGCGCTCAGTCAGACCCTCTTTAGAGCGGTGCCATTTAGCCAAAGGGCTCATTATCTGCGGGTGATCACAGATGAATGTAGGATTGATGCATGTCGTTTCCAGGAACTCCCTGACAAGCCTGGCCGTGGTCCGAGGTGGAGGGCATTCAACAGCTCTTGCTAGACAGATGTCATCAAGAATTTTGCGAGTTTCTTCAGTTTCAAAGAGCTTAGTTTCTGGCAGCTTCACCCCCAAGGCCTTCTCAAGCTCTTCTACCATGCTGATTCTCCGGAAGGGTGGGGTGAAGTCAATCTCATAGGCTTCACCCTCTGGGCCATCTGGATGGTATGTGACCTTGTAATTGCCCGTAATGTGCTTCACCATCCCTGAAATCATCTTCTCTGTGATTTCCATGAGATCATGATAGTCTGCATAGGCCATGTAGAACTCACAGGTGGTGAACTCAGGATTGTGAGTCAAATCAATTCCTTCATTCCGGAACTGGCGTCCAATTTCATAAACCCGGTCAATGCCACCAACCACCAGTATCTTATGGTAGAGTTCTGGAGCAATCCTCATGTATAAATTCATGTCCAGCTCATTGTGGTAGGTGATGAAAGGCTTGGCCACAGCTCCCCCGGGGATGATGTTCATCATGGGAGTTTCAATCTCTAGGAATCCCAACTCATCCAAGAAACTCCTTATGTATGTGATGATCTTAGAGCGGATAATAAATTTCTGCCTCACAAAGTCATTCAGGATCAAGTCCAAGTATCTCTGACGATACCGTGTTTCCTTGTCTTTGAGGCCAAAGTGGAGATGAGGTAACATATGCAAGCAAGGAGACAGCAGTGTGATCTCGTAGGGAATGATGCTCAGCTCACCCTTCTTGGTTTTCCCAGGATTTCCCTTAATTCCAATTATGTCTCCCTGACGTAGTTTGTTATTGATGTGATTAAATTCTTCTTCTGATTTATAATTCCTGGAATTGGCCATGACTTGCAACTTGACCCCTTCTCCTCGAAGGTCATAGAAGATGAGCTTTCCCCCAGAAGCTCTTTTGGCATGTATCCTACCTGCCACATTTAAGGTGATGTCAGTCAGGTGGTCCCCAGGCTGCAGGTGACCATACTCTTCGATGAAATGAGTGAGTGAGATGTCAACAAGGAACTTGTGCGGGTATGGGTCTTCCCCATTGATTTTCAGTTGGTGGATTGCTTGGCTGCGTATCTTGAAGTATTGATTTGGGTCTAGACTCTCCTCCTCAGCACCCACATCATTATCAGTGGTGTGATTGGTGGCAGCAGCAGTGGCCTGGCTTAGCTGTTTTTCACTGAGCTCCTTCTGCTTGGCTTCCTTCTCTGCAATTTTCTTCTCAGCTTTTAGGCGCCTCTTTAGCTCATTTTTGCTCAGTTTTGGCTCGCCGGCGTCCACTTTCACCTCAGCACCCTGCACCGCAGCCATCTTTCCCGAGGGCCCGACCTGAAAGGGCCACTCAGATGCTTTTTACAGAAGCTTCCTGCAAATGTATTTTGTCTTAAATGAGACTCAGAAAGACCTCTCAATACAGGTTTCTGATAACCTTCAGCTCATAAAACTAAACTGGGTAAGAATTTCCAGAACTCATAGAAGAACTCAATTCAAGCAGAACAAGAAAAACGTGATTAAATGCACTAAAGAGGATAATTTTTATAACTTTTCACTTAAAATATCACTGACGTTTGGGGGATCCCTGGGTGGCTAAGCGGTTTAGCGCCTGCCTTCAGCCCAGGGCCTGACCCTGGGGACCTGGGATCGAGTCCCACGTCGGGCTCCCTGCATGGAGCCTGCTTCTCCCTCTACCTGTGTCTCTCCCTCTCTCTCCCTCTCTCTGTGTATCTCATGAATAAGTAAATAAAAATATTTAAAAAAATAAAATATCACTGACTTTTTAAAAATGTTTTTTTTCTCCAAATTTAAGGAAACTTCTTAAAATACTTAAAACAATTACCAAGCGTAGGTTTATCTGCATTTGACTACTTATTACAAGGAAACTAAAAATTTAGATATCTTAGTGCTACTTTGGGAAACTGAAAAAGGCATCTACCTCTAGAAATTGTGAAACATACTCATAAGTCTGAAAATCTAAAGAATGCTGGCATAACAGTTCACAGTTGCTTACTTACTAGCTTTCACTGAAAATTAGGGTTTTAAGAGTTAAGAATTCTAATAAAGGGGCACCGGGCTGGCTCAGTCACAAGAGCATGTGACTCTTAATCTCAGAGTCATGAGCTGGAGACCCATGTTGGGTGTAGAGATTACTTAAATAAATAAAACTTTTAAGATTTTATTTATTTATTCATGAGAAACACAGGCAGTGGGAGAAGCAGGCTCCATGCAGGGAGCCCGACGCAGGACTTGATCCTGGGACTCCAGGATCACACCCTAGGCCGAAGGCGGCACTAAACCGCCAAGCCATCTGGGCTGCCTCCAATAAATAAAACTTAAAAAAAAAATCTAATAAATATAATTAAGGTTACTGGAAATAATAAGAGAAACAACTCTGTATGAAAGGAAAGAAGGTTGTGTATTTTTTTGGTAAGAAAAAATAGGAAAAAGAGAAATACACCTTAGATGGAAAAGAAAGGACAAAATCTAAATGTAAAAAAGAGAAAGTTCTAGTAAGTTTTTAGAAAAGAAATCACTGGAAAGAAATTTGAATGTGTGGTCAAGGTGACTTTGGTGCAAGACAACAGAATCTATAAAGACGTGTACTAACTCCATTCTCCTTCTCCTTCCGCAGAAAATGGCCCCTCATTGCCAGACTTTTGCCATCCTGGCATCCTTAAAATATGGCAAAGATCTGCTCCAGAACCAGAGAAATTAACGTTGGATGGACACTTGGTTCTTCCTTGCTCCTTGACAAACTCTGTTTTTGGTTTTGGCCTTCCTGTACTCATCACAGTGCATTCAAGATGACTCAAATTATATAGACACTGCTGAAATACTCTTTTTGCAACTTTATAGAAGTTTCCCCACTAATGTCTGACTGATCAAGTCCCTAATCCTGAAAAAGCTGTTTTGTTTGTCCCAGAGGCCTCTGACCTCCCTGCTCTGGACCCTTTGAACACCTGCTCTTGGTACCAGTCACCAATAGTCTGGTTATTGCATGGGCCTCACCCTCCCACAACACTTTGCCCTCCCTGTGGGAAATTTAAAAAAAAAAAATTTGTGTCTCTGCCTCTCTCATGAATAAATAAATTTAAAAACAAGAACAGGGGATCCCTGGGTGGCGCAGCGGTTTGGTGCCTGCCTTTGGCCCAGGGCGCGATCCTGGAGACTCGGGATCGAATCCCATATCGGGCTCCCGGTGCATGGAGCCTGCTTCTCCCTCTGCCTGTGTCTCTGTCTCTCTCTCTCTCTCTCTGTGACTATCATAAATAAATAAATAAAAATTTTAAAAAAATAAAAAAAAAAAATAAATAAAAAGAACAAAGAGTCCTGTTGGTCACAGTCTAGAGCCTGGAAGCGATCAGGTATTCGGGCAACATCACCAGAGAAAGACAGCTCTTAGGACCTGACCAGTGACACTGATGCACAAGTAGAAGGTACTGAGCCTTGAGTACCCATCACATGGCTGAAGAAGGCTCTGCCGGAGCCCTGGTCCCTGTACCGACGCTGGCGACCTACCAGTACTGACCAGGGAGAGAAACAGCTGCCACCAAGGTAGACTGCTTCTGCTCATGCACCGGATAAGACTTTACACCCTGGCATGAATGTGACACCTGTTCTCCTCTCTTCCTTCTCTTCACTCAGGCACTAGGTTGGAGAAATAACAGCCTTATCTTTACTACCTCCCAGGCCATGCTCAGGGGGCAACTCTGGACCTGAGAGCAACCTTTTATTTCAGCCTAGGAGGAAATCTAACTTTTATCGTTGGTCAGCTCTTGTGATTTTACATTGTGAGTTAGAAGGGAACTACCAGGAGGCTTTCTTGATTCAGGACTCTCCATTTGGCAGATCCCTACCTCCCAGGGATAAATATAAATGAAGCTACGATCAGGAGCTTCTTAATTCTTCAAATTTCTACTGAATCGCCACTAAAGCAAGAACTGCCCAACAAAGATCCTTAGACTCTCTGGCCAAAGTTGTTCACGATCACAGAATAGCCCTTGACCATCTTTCAGCTGAGCAAGGAGGTGCCTGCTGTAGCCAATACCACCTGCTACACCTGGATTAGCCCTTCTGGGAAAGTTGAAACTCAGTTATATCAAATCACAAAACAAGCCATTTGCCTTAAAAAAATGACTCCATCCATGGGGTCTTTGATATATTTGATTTTGACTGGACTAGAGACCATGGCTTCAAGGTATCCTGCAAACATTGGGAATTATCTTGCTTATTGTAATCATAATAATCTCCCTGGTGCATTATATTCTCTCAAGGATTTTAAATGCGTGTTTGCAGCCCCTGACCACCAAGCAAATGGTCTCCCTCAGACTGGACCAACAAAAAAGGTACAAAGAGAACAACCGACTTAAAAGAATATAAATCTGGGGTGCCTGAGTGGCTCAGTCGTTTAAGTGTCTGCCTTTGACTCTGGTCACAATCTCTGGAGTCCTGGGATTGAGCCCCATGTCAGGGTCCCTGTGCTCTGCAGGAGGTCTGCTTCTCCCTCTCCCTCTTTCTCCACTTCCCCACCTCCCCACTTGTGCTCTCTCTCTCTCTCTCAAATTAATAAAAATAAAATATTAAAAATGCAAAAGAATATAAATCTGAAGTTGTAACCTGTGGATATCAGAGAGAGAAAGCCAAAGCATCATGACCTGAGAAGGCCAAAGATCAACCAAAGCTGTGAGAACTACAGAGCAGTAGCGGAGAGTGGCACTAATGCCTTAAATTTTGATCACATCAAAAAAATTGTTTTGATCACACCTCTCAAGCGGACAGTCTGGTCAGAAGGGAGCTACACGCACAGGCCCAAAATGGCATCGCTTAGTTAAGGCCCCAAATCAGTAAACCAAAACTTAGTACCTATCCTAAATTTTAACATGCCAGGAATCACTGTAACCTCTAATCAGTCAACCTAGAATTTCTTAGTCAATGCTAGGAAATTTCCCGAGAGGCCCCTTTAGCTCCCCTTAGGACAGTAACCTTACATAAAACAATGGATTCTCTGCTAATAACTTCATCTTTCTTTATACCTTCTGACTTTAATTAAGAACCTTTCTTTTGTTCGGCTCAGCAGAGCTCACCTGTACTTGCTAGATGGAATGCTGCCCAACTCATGAATTGTTTAATGAATCCAATTAGACCTTCAAATGTACTCAGTTGAATTTTTTTTTTAACACTGTGACCCAGGCCCCACCCTCAAAGACCTCATAGTCTGGTGGAGCAGCCTCACAGGATAAGTACGTGTGATAAATGCTGTGCACCGTCAAGTCCTGAAACCCCTGACCTATCTTTAAAGAATTCACAGCGGGACTTCAGACTGCAAGTTCTTTGGGACAAGGGCAAGGAGATGTCAGCACAAACAAGTGGCTGTGCCGCTGGTGCCTGCGGACGGAGCGGCTCCCTCGCCCCCACGGCCCTGGACAGGACTTTGTGGAGCCCAGTTCCATGAAGTCTACACACGTGGGGCCAGCCAGGGACTGAGGTGAAGCAGCCCCCAGGCCAGCACCTGAGCCCTCCCTCTTGCCTGCTCTCTGAATCCACACCTCCCAGCCCTCCCAACCCCTCTGCCTCCAAACACACACAAAGTGCCTCCTTCACGCCCTGGGTGTAGCACAGTTTGCAGCTAAGGACACCTGGCCCTGCACACACAGTTCCTTGTGTAGGAACAGTGGTCCGTCAGAGGCAGCAAAGGCACATTTTCAAGCTCAGCAGAGTTCAGTAAAGCAGCTGTGTATCCTTGCAGCTGTCCTAAGCACCTTCGAGAAAGGTTGAGGCCAACCACTGTCTGCAAACTTCTGCAGCCTGGCCTGCCTCCTCCCCCTCGCCCCGCTGTCCTGCAACAACAGAAGCAGCAGGACATGAAGGTCCCCTTCTAGGGAGGGGACCACAGGCAGGAGGGGGGCTGGAGATGAATGCAAATTCAAGCTCCATTTGCTCTCTGGACTGAGGAGTGGGTACGTACGGCCTCCCAGGCACACAGGCCACAGCACCTCCCTGACTCCTCAGAGCTGGGCCTTCTCTAAGAGTTTTCCAGATGTCTTTTTCAACCATCACCCAAATAAGAATTACATTTTGCATCGTGAACCAACTGTGCATACACGCATACCTATATTATAATTCCGAAATGGGATTAAAAATACCACTTCATGCTGTACACAGCGCTTTCTGGTATTCTGTTCAAGCTTGTTTTTTTTTTTTTTTTTTTTTTTTTTAATGATGCTGGTTGCAACCCACCAAACTCCTTTCCAGATCCGCTAACAAGTTCCTAAGCAAAGTTCATCAAACACTGTTGTGGGAGCCAAGGTCAAGGAGCTGTATCTCAACTTACTTTTTTTCTTCCTTTTGGCTTGGAAGTTCCCCCCAGTCATGAAGAAATAAAGTAGTTAATGAGTCACTACCCCCTGAGCTGAGGATCTGAGTTCATAGGCTGCCCCCTGGGTCTCAGACAAGCCACTGTGAGAGCGTGAACTCTCCCTCCTGGTCTGTGTCCTCAAGGGAGGTCTGGCTCTGCCCCCTGCCAGGTCCTCTACACATCACTCTGCAGGGCTGTCTCAGGCCTGAGGTGCAGCACAAACCCCAGGGCACTTGGGAACCTGCTGGGCACAGGTCAGCTCAAATCCAGCATGGAAGTATCTCCTCAAGCCCGGGGAGCCCAGAAAATGAGAAGAACGGGCCCCAAACTCCAGCTAGCACATCCATCTCTCAGCCTCATGAGTCCCCAAGTGATTCGCTTCCAGTGGGAATCCCTTTCCTGGGCTGTCTGCCCCATGCAACCCCAAGAAGGTGGATGAGGACAGGCGGCCTGGGATGAGAGCACTGACCACAGAGTCAGCCAGTCTGGACCAGATTCCAGTTCTCCTCTTAGGTGGTACCTTGGGCAAGTTTTACTTCACTGCACTGGGCCTCAGTTTCTATATCTGTGAAGTGGAAATAATACCAGCTACTGGACAAGATTATGGGAAAGATGAGGGGTAAGTGCAAAGGGCTCTACATTGTGCCCGGCACACAGTGGTGCTGAGTACGTACGCAGTGTTACCATTATGACGAGCAGTGGATGTGTCTTACCAAATCTCCATTATGCCAGTGTTCTTCTGTAAGGCATCCGCCAGCTGGGCAATCCCCTTGGCTGTGATCTGGTTCTGGATAAGCCTGAAAGAAGAACATATCTTGGAGCAGATACATAATCCTGGACCAACTGCCTCCTCCATGAGGGAGCTGTGAGGGATGATGGGAATGAGACACGGTCAGGGGAAGAACTGTGTCCGCGTGGCTTTAATCTGGCTAAGACGGTCTAGATCAGATCTACGAGAATAAAGGGCATCCTTAAAAATGTTTAATTTTTGTTTTGTTTTGGGTTTTTTTGTTTAATTTTTTTAAGAGTAAACAATGTATCTGTGCATTTATATGAAGATAACTTAATACATGAACACATTTCAGGGTGCACGCTGGCATTTTTCGCTGCAGAGGTGCCTAGTCAAAAACGTTTGGAGGCCTCCAGCCCGAACAACAAATTCTAGGAAATATCCAGGAGACAGGCGGCTCCTTCCAGCTGGCTGGGGAAGGCAAGGCAGTTTTCAAAGAGGCGGCCAACTGGCCATTCACTTCTTTGGGGAAAATGAAGGCTTCTAAGAACGCACCATGTCCTCTCCAACATCTGGGGGAGGGAAGGGAGCGATCATCCTGCTGCCACTCACGGGTCCCAGCAGGAAAGCACCAATAATGGGGCCTCCAAGAGTGCACCCTATTATGTCAGGTAGCAGCGATCCAAATGAAACAAAGGTTTCTGATATCGCCAAGGAGCCCCGGCAGTTTCTCAAGTGCCCCCCGGGGCAGCCGTGCTTCCAACCCAACCAAGAACACACTGCCAAGGCAGCCGTGGGTCTCTATTTCATCACAGACCCACTCCTCATTCCTGGCCATCTGTAGAATAAAGCTACTGCTGGACTTGGCTCTAAGAAACCCTCAGTGGCCCTGGAAAGTATGACCACAACGTAACTTGCACGTTTTTGCAAAAGGACCAAAGGTAGAACCTGCAAGTGGACACAGACCCGTGCATTTGGCTAAACTGCTGTGTTCTAATCACCTCCATGGCTGCTACCACTGGCACCACCTACAGTTTGCGGGGAGAGCTGCTTCCAGCCAAGACCCAGCAAGAGACTGGGTAGCAAGAGGGCCCCAAAGTGTGGCAGTGCTCAGGCACACATGTCCCTTGGGGCCTTCTTCACAAGAGCCAGTGTGGTCTGTCCATGCATGAAGCAGCCAAGACTCGCTCTCCAACCCCGTTCTAGCTCTGGGCTGCCTGCAGAGGCTGGCATAGCACCAAGGAAAGGAGATAAAAGACAATCTACAGGCCAGAAAAACTACAACAAAACAAACGTAAAGGGGCAGCCTGGGTGGCTAAGCAGTTTTTTTGTTTGTTTGTTTGTTGTTGTTTTTTTTGTTTTGTTTTGTTTTTTTGCAGTTTAGCGCCACCTTCGGCCCAGGGCGTGATCCTGGAGTCCCAGGATCAAGTCCCATGTTGGGCTCCCTGCATGGAGCCTGCTTCTCCCTCTGCCTGTGTCTCAGCCTCCCTGTCTCTCGTGAATAAATAAATAATCTTAAAAAAATAAAAACATGTAAAAGCAGAGTCTGGCTGTTTTACAGAAACTGACAAGGCAAGCTAAAATTCATATGGAAATACAAGGGACCTGGAATAGCCCAAACGATATGGAGAAAGGACAAAAGTTGGGCGACTTCCCACTTCCTGATTTCAAAACTTGCTACATAGAATTAATGAAGACAGTGTGATCCTGGCACAAGGATAAACAAATGGATCGATGAACTAGAATAGAAAGTCCAGAAATACACCCATACATTTACGGTCTATTGATTTTTGGCAAATGTGTCAGGGCCATTTAAAAGGGAAAGATACGCTTTTCAACAAGAGGTACTAGGACAGCTGGAGAGCCACAGGCCAAAGAATTAGTTTGGACCCTAGGCCTCATGCAGCACACAACAACTGACTCCAGAGATTAACATTTAGGATCAAAGACCTCAATGCAAGAGCAAAACTGTAACACTTAAAGGAAAACTTAGCTGTAAATCTTTGTGACCTTGGATTAGGCAACAGTTTCTTAGTAAGACACTTAAAGCACAAACCACCAGAGAAAAAAACAAATTGGACTTCCATCAAAATTAAAAACTTTTGTGCTTCAAAGATCACTACCAAGAAAAGTGAAAATCCCCACAGTGGAAATATTTGCAAATATTCTATCTAGTAAGCGTCTAGTACCCAGAATATAGAAAGAGCTCTAACAGCTCAGCAATAAAAATGCAAATAAATTTATTCAAATTTAAATTAAATTTTGGGGAGGGATGTGGAGACGTTTCTTCAAAGATACACAAAGGCCAATAGGCACAGGAGGGGCACCTGGGTGGCTCAGTAGGTTAAGCGTCTGCCTTGGGCTCAGGTCATGATCCCAGGGTCCTGGGATGGAGCTTCAAATTGGGCTCCCTGCTCAGCGAGGAGTCCACTTGTTCCTTTCTCTCTGCCCCTCCCTCCTCTCATGCTATCTCTCAAACAAAATCCTAAGAAAATAGGCACACGAAGAGATGCCCAATGTTAGTCACCAGGGAAATGCAGATCAAAACCACAATGAGATACCACTTCACACCCACTAGAGTGACAAGATTCAAAAAATGGACAATGATGACTGTTGTTGGTGAGCATGTGGAGAAGTGGGAGTCTTCCCACATTACTGGCGGGAATGTAAAGTAGAGCAGCCACTTTGGAAAATACTTCAGTGGTTCCTCAAAAAGTTGCATCCAGAGTGGCCATATGACCTAGCGATTCTAGTCCTAAGTTTATACCCAAGAGAAATGAAAACATGTGCACACACAGACATGCACAGGAACGTTCATGGTAGCATTATTCACAACAGTCAAAAAAGTAGATGCAACCCCAATGTCTACCAACCGACGAATGAACAAAATGTGGCCTATCTGTACAGCGGAACATCAGCCACACAGCAATGAGGTTCTGGCATGGGCTACAGTGTAGATGAACCTTGAAAACTCATGCTAGTGAAAGAACATGGACAAAAAATGACATGTTGTAGGATTCCATTTCCATGAAATGCCCAGAAAAGGCAAATCCATAGGGATAAAAAGTAGATCTGGGGTGGGGGCAGAAAGACAGGGAGGCACAGCTTAATGCATACTGGTCTCTTCTGGTTGGGAGCGGCGGGGAGGTAAAACCATCTACAATTAGATGGAGGGAATGGTTGTGCAACCTTGTGAAATACTAAGAACCACTGACTTGTGCATTTTATTTTTTAAGATTTTTTTTAAGTGATCTCTACACCCAACATGGGGCCTGAACTCACAGCCCCAAGATCAAGAGTCACATGTTCCACCGAATGAGCCAGCCAGGTGCCTCATCTCAAAAAATATTTTTTTTAAAGTAGCACAACCTGAAATTCTGAGGTTCTCTGACTTACCACAAATGTTTCAATGTCTGGTTGACTTTCAACATCTCTGCCAAGCTCTCTGCCACTTCATCATCAAGTTCATTTTTGGTGAGCCTAGAAAAGAAGTGTTTACTCAGGAGAGACCTACCTGGCACACATTTTTAAATGAGTTCTCAGAAGTGGGATCCCAGCCCAGATCTTTCCAGCTTAGGCTGCTAATCACTTGCTGAACTAAGCAAACAGCCAGGTCCCTGGCTCAGCCTCTGAGCCCCATAGACAATAAAGGGTGATTCATTTCTAGTGCAATCCTGTACCCAAGCTCATATTTCTTAGTCCTGCTGCTATAGAGGAGCACTTGCTTCTCCTCCCCATCTTTCCTGGGGCCTCAGATCCCAACACCTGCTTCCCAGGCTTCCTCCAGCCCCCAAGGCCCCTTGAACACTCCTGACAGCCTGTAACCAAAGTCAGTCATATGAAAACCCAGAAAAGCTTGTCAACTACATGTTAAAATGTGCTCAATGCTTTGCTCTGAAGCCCATTGTGAAGGACCCAAGTTCAGTGACTCAAAGTTCAGGAAGTCTCTCAATTGTTCTTAAAACCAAAAGTGGTCTGGATAAAGCACAGAGAACTAGGAAGTTCCCAGATATAAATAGGATTGGACTTTGTCGTGCCAATGGATGGAAAAATAAATTAGGAAGGAGAATGAAATAGAACATTCAAAAAAAATCATTCCTCAAAGGGCAATTTGGTAGCATCTATCTGAAGATAATTTTAAATGTGTTCTACTTTGAGCCAACAATGGCGCTTCTGGAAACTGACCCTAACTGTGCAAAGATGTGCACACCAGGATCTGTACATGCAGCATCAACGGCAGTGTTATCCGTTGTAATGTATGTGAGCCCGAGTAAATAGCAGTAGAGGCTACTAGGGAAATAAACTGCAAACATCCATTCAGTGGGACGTTGTGCAGCCTTTAGAGGGAATGAGGGGTAGAGAGAATCAGGCAAAAGAACACGATAGATGAGAGGACCCTGGAGCCAGACATGCCGTGTGCGTGTCACTTGCTAGCAGGACAACTTCGGGCAGGTATTTTAACTTCTCCGGGCCTGAGTTTTCTCACAAGAAAAATAAGGATGAACAGTCACAGTATAGACATTATGGGGTGGCTGTGAGGGTGAGTTAAGACATACAAGAGGCTGAGAATAGGGGCTCCTGGATGACTCAGTCGGTTAAGCGTCTGACTCTTGATATCTCTCAGGTCATGAGCTCAGAGTTGTGAGATTGAGCCCCGTGTCAGGCTATGCACTGGACATGAGGCCTGCTTAAGATTCTCTCTCTTCCTCTCCCTCTGCCTGGCCCCCACTACCACTTCATCTCTCTTAAAAAAAAAAAAAAAGTAAAAGGCCAAGAATAATGCCTGGTGTACAGTCAGCACTCGAGAAATGCTGGGTGCTAACATTATTACTATCCATGTAGAGTAGTAGCTCTCAACTGGGGTGCTTTTCCCTCTAGGGGATATTTGTCAACATCTGGAGACATTTTGATCATCACAGGTGGAGGCTACTGCTGGTATCTAGGGGCTGATGCCCAGGATTCTGCTAAACATCCTATAAGGAACAAGACAGCCCCTCACAAGAATGATTTGGACCAAAATGTCAACAGTGGAAGGTAGGACCGAGAAGCCCTGATATAAAAGGATATGTAAAATGTGGACAATATATGGTTAAGATTTTCTTTTTAAGATTTATTAAGAAAAAAGATTTATAAAAAAAAAGAAAAAAGATTTATTTATTTTAGAGAGTGCACGTAGAGCGGGGGAACAGAGGGAGGGAGAAAGAGAGAATCTTGAGCAGACTGTACACTAAGTGTGGAGCCCCCCATGTGTGGCTCAATCTCTCAACCCTGAGATCAGGACCTGAGCCAAAATCAAGAGTCAGATGCTTAACCAATCGAGCTACCCAGACACCCCTTAAGATATTTTTTAAAAGCCACCTGGTAAATGCTATTCTATTTTGTAAGAAAAGGGACATACATGAATATGCATTCAAATACTAGAGAGGTAGAATATACATTCAAAGGCTAGAAGAAAAAGGTTGTATCTGGAAAACATGAAGGAGGAAGTACTGTACTTCCTACTTTTTGGACTTCCTTAGTTTTTTTTTTTTAATATTTCAAAATATTTTTAAGAATATTTTTTTAGAGGAAAAGAATTAAAAATCCATTTACCGGCCAGCCCATCTAGTAAGAGAATTCTCAAAATGATGGTGTTATATATTAACTAAGTCAGCTGATACCTCACGTGCCCTGAGCCCTAATATAATTTCATTACCTGTAAGGAATTTATGATACAAGCAAGTAAATAAAAGTTCAAATAAATAAAATAGAGTAGATGACAAAAAGAACAACAACAACAAAAGCACTGTCAGAGGGCAACATATACTAAATTAGTACCCCTAGAGGACAGGGAGGGGTGAGGAACGTGGGCTTCGGGTGGCCGGTGAGCTGGACCAGATGGTGCATGGTGAGAAAGGCAGCTCAGGAGGAGAAGGGAGAAAAGCGTGAGCCGAGCGCACTGAAGTTGGACTCTACAAGGCATCTTGGAAGGTGTTCTGAGGATAATCCGGATAGAACCACCAACCTTCAGGTTTCCCTGAGGCCTGGGTTGGCGAAGGCGGCTAAGGTCAAACATCATACCCCTGGGACACACTTCCCCCTTCGGTACCTGTTTGTGCTTCTAGAAATGGCTGTTTTCTTATCTAGGAGGAAATTAAATTATCAACTTGACACTGAAGAAAAAGCCTTTTCAGTTAAAAGTCAGCTTTTTCAGTTAAGATTCCAGGCTTTTCAGGGAAGATTGCACATCCAGTGAAGATGCGGTCTTTGGAATAATCCCCGAGACCCAGCTTTTCAAAAGGGCTCTGTTTATTACCAGAATATTCTCAGAGAGGTGTTCTGCTGCAGGGCCTGTGCGAGGCTCTTTCCTCCTTCTGTGGAGATGCCGTTGAATGCAAGACTAGGAAGGAAAACACCTGGGGTCAGTATTTTAGAGACACGTCTACATTTGGCTTTGGCTTCAGCCACCGAAGCACCCAGAAGGTGCCACCTGGAGGCGGGGCCTGCCCAGGCTGACATGAGGCAGGAAGCAGAAGTACTCAGCCTTGCCAACAGCCGCTCCAGCTTGGTTGCTCCAGAGCCCACGCTCCGAGCATGAGGACAGGCACAAGACAACTCAAGGAGAGGCCAGACAGGAAGCGAACATGAGGCCAATGTCACAGGCCAATCAGGGGCTACGAGGGCTCCACTTCAGGAGGCTGACATTTTCAAGGTGTCCGGCAATGAGACCTGGAGAGGTGCCCTCTGTTCTCATGAAGAAAACTCTGCTAGTGCCTCCACTGTCTTGGATTCTTTTTCAGTGTTAGGAAGAACCCGGGCAACAGGAGACACCCGAGGCTCTGAGATTTGGCCAGAGGCCTAAGAGGCGGCCAGGGAGGAGTAGGTCTCTACAGAGATGAAGGTTCCCCTTCCTACTCAGCATCATCCTGTGAATGAGGAAGGGCCAGCATCCCTTTCGGTTTTATCTGGACTTCCCACTTCCCTACTCCCAAGGGGCCTGGGGAGACCACTGAGATGCTGGCAAAGTCCTACATCTGGGTCCGGGTGGTGGCTATGTTGGTGTGTACATATGGCAAGTGGCCGAGCCAAACAGTAATGTACTTTGACGTAGGCCTCTTATATATCAATAAAACTGCTTACAAAAGAAAAATCACACACACACGCGCGCGCGTGCACACACACCCCTTCTCCACTGTGAAAGCCAACCGCTCTCTTCCCCCTGGCAAACCAAGAGGCCCACGGAGTGACCCGGTTGGGCCCCGGTGACAGCAGGTCTCAGAAGGCAGCAGTTACCTGAGGTTGGTCAGACTGGGGTGGTTCCTCAGAGCCTCTGCAAAGGCCTTTGCTCCTTCATCACCGATTCTGTTACCCCACATCCTGAGGATAGAGGCAAGATGGTGAACATTAGCTCGTGCCCACCCCTTCCTTTCTGCTGGTGGCCACGCTTGGCGCTGCACTCATGGGCAGGGGTCTCTGCTCTGTCCCTGGAGCTCTGGCCTGGAGTAGATTCCCAGACCAGGCCCTTCATGAAGCTGCTCTAGGTTCCAAATCCAAAGGGAAAGGTGGGGTAAGGGCAGCAAAAAGGCTTGTGAACAGAAGCCCAGCAGGTGGCTACACAGAGACTGAGATACCCTGGGCTTTCGGAGAGCTGTCAGAGGGCCTGAGCACAGGATGGTCCAAGAAATGCCCCCACCGAGGATGCAGGTTGGCAGCAGCCTAAACTGGAGGCCTATGGAGGTGCAGACTGCCAGAGTCCATCTGACCCTCTGCAAGGGTCTGAGACATTCGTGAGGACACAGTGGGTCTTCCAAGAAGCAAATATCAGGAAGCACCCTCAGGAATCTCCCCAGCAATGCTGCTTTTAGGTGAAGAGGACCCTACTCTCACGGGCTGGTGCACTGTTGCAGTCTGGGGTCTCAGCGGGGAGCTGCAGTGATGAAGCCCCACACCCTCCCTCCCCACAGCAGATGACTTGTGAGGCTCTGGCAGGAGGAGGCTGGCCCCCTGTTTTAACTGGAATTTTTTTTTAAGATTTTATTTATTCATGAGAGACAGAGGGAGAGGCAGAGACATAGGCAGAGGGAGGAGAAACAGGCTCCATGCAGGAAGCCCGATATGGGACTCGATCCCGGGACTCGGATCACACCCTGAGCCAAAGGCAGGCGCTCAACCCTGAGCCACCCAAGTGTCCCTTTAACTGGATTTTTATCTGGATTTAAGATTCACTCTGGTGAATCACATAATGTCTTAGACCTTATTCTACTTTCTGTAAAAGAGGGGCTACTAATAACATTTCCCCTAGAGTTGTGGGGATTAGGTTAGTTAATAGATGCACAGCACTTAGAACAGCACCTGGCCTACAGCAAGCAACAGCTGTTTTCAACAGGCTGAGAGCACCATCTGCCCAGCCCACACACAGCAGAGCCAGGGCCGCCTGGGCAACGTGCTCTCACCGCACCAGCGACCCACTGCCATCCCTCCCGGGGATGCTGGAGCCCAGCCATGAGTTCTCCGTGTTTTGCATAAATGTGTACTCCCATGCAGAGAAAGGGGAACCTCTTACACTCCTGGGGGAAATGCAAGCTGGTGCAGCCACTCTGGAAAATAGTGTGGAGGGTCCTCAAAAAGTTAAAAAATAGAGCTACCCTGTCACCCGGCAATTGCACTAGGTATTTACCCAAAGGATATAAAAATACGGATTCAGGGGCACCTGGGTGACTCAGTGGTTGAGCGTCTGCCTTTGGCCCAGGGCATGATCCCGGAGACCCGGGATCAAGTCCCACGTCGGGCTCCCTGCATGGAGCCTGCTTCTTCCTCTGCCTGTGTCTCTGCCTCTCTCTCTGTATCTCTCATGAATAAGTAAAGAAAATATTTTTTAAAAATACAGATTCAAAGGGGTACACGCACCCCGATGTTTACAGCAGCATTATCAACAATAGCCAAACTATGGAGAGAGCCCAAATGATGTCCATTGACTGATGAATGGAGAAACAAGATGTGGTGTGTGTATATATATATAAATATTACTCCGCCATCAAAAAGAATGAAACCTTGCCATTTACAATGAGGAGTATCATGCAACAGAGTCTCATGGAGCCAGAGAGTATCATGCTAAATGAAATGTCAGAGAGAGACAAATACCATAGGATTTCACTCATAAGTGGAATTTAACAAAAACAACAACAACAACAACAAAACATGGGGGGATAAAAGAGAGGCAAACCATAAAACATACTCTTAACTACAGACAGCAAACTTTGCTGGAGGGAGGTGGGTGGAGGATGGGCGAGATGGGTGATGGGCATTAAGGAGGGCACTGGTGATGAGCACTGGGTGCTGTATGTAAGTGATGAATCATTAAATTCTACTCCTGATATGAGATTAAACAAAAAAAAGAATAAAATTCTGTACATTTAGCTTGGCCTTTACTGGATTCAAAATATATTGGATATTTTGCACACACCCGTGTGTGAGAGCAAGAAAGCTTAACTGACCTCAAATGTTGACAATATTTCTGAGATGATTTTCAGATTTTTTGCATTTTTCCTAGTTTACAGATAAAATTATCATGTTTGTTTTATAATCAGATAAAAATGATAACAATATAAAAAGGTTTAGGGCAGCCCAGGTGGCTTAGCGGTTTAGTGCTGCCTTCGGCCCAGGGCATGATCCTGGAGTCCCGGGATCGAGTCCCACGTCAGGTTCCCTGCATGGAGCCTGCTTCTCCCTCTGCCTGTGTCTCTGCTTCTCTCTCTCTCTCTCTCTCTCTCTCTCTCTCATGAATAAATAAATCTTTAAAAAAAAAAGGTTTAAAAAGCCTCCTGAATCAAAACCACAATGAGATACTACCTCGTACCCGTTAGGATGGTTACTATTAAAGAGCAGAGAGTAGGGCCACCTGGGTGGCTCAGCAGGTGAGCGTTTGCCTTTGGCTCAGGTCATGATCCCGGGGTCCAGGGATTGAGTCCTGCATTGGGCTCCCGGATGGGAGCCTCCTTTTCCCTCTACCTGTGTCTCTGCCTCTGTGTGTGTGTGTCTCTCATGAATAAATAAATTAATCTTAAAAAAAAAAAAAGAACAGAACAGCAAGTGTTGGCAAGGATGCTGAAAATCCAGAACCCTTGTGCACTGTGGGTGGGCATATAACGTGGTGCGGCTGCTGTGACACTTCCTCAAAAACCTAAAAATAGAATTACCAGCCGATCCTACAGCTCCACTTCTGGGTACATAGAAAAAAAAAATCAAAGAGGTATTTGTACACCCATGTTCCTGGCAGCCCTACTCACGACAGCTAAAATGTGGAAGCCACCCAAGTGTCCGTGGAAAGATAAATGGACGAAATGTGGCACATACACACTGTGGACTGTTCCTCAGCCTTAAAAAGGAAGGAAATTCCAATACAAGCTACGGCATGGGTGGATCTCGAGGAGAACACTGTGCTGAGTGAAGGAAGCCAGGCACAATGACCCAAATACCTCGCATGGCTCCACTTCAAGAGCTACCTGTGGTAGTCAAACCCCTGGGGACAGGAAATCCAAGGGTGGCAGTGGGGGCTGGAGGAAGGGAGGATGGGGAGCTGTTGTGAGATGGGTAGAGAGCTGCTTTTTTGCAAGATGAAGAGAGTTCTGGAGATGGTGGTGATGGTCACACAACTACGAAGACGCATAATGCCCCTGAACTGTACCGCTACAAATGGTTCAGATGGTAGCTCCTGTGTTAACGGATTTTACCACAATTAAAAAAAAAAAAATTGAGGGCAGCCCGGGTGGCTCAGCAGTTTAGTGCCACCTTCAGCCCAGGGCATGATCCTGGCGACCTGGGATCAAGTCCTGCATTGGGCTCCCTGCATGGAGCCTGCTTTGCTTCTCCCTCTGCCTGGGTCCACTCTGCCTCTGTGTGTGTGTGTGTGTGTGTGTGTGTGTGTGTGTGTGTGTGATGAATAAATAAATCTTTTTTAAAAATTGAATTAAAAAAAAAAGACACAGGGCACTTGGGTGGCTCAGTGGTTGAGCGTGTGCCCTCGGCTCAGGCTGTGATCCTGGGGTCCCAGGATCGAGTCCCACGTCGGGCTCCCTGCGTGGAGCCTGCTTCTCCCTCTGCCTGGGTCTCTGCCTGTGTGTCCCTCATGAATAAATACATAAAATCTTTAGGGATCCCTGGGTGGCGCAGCGGTTTGGCGCCTGCCTTTGGCCCAGGGCGTGATCCTAGAGACCCGGGATCGAATCCCATGTCGGGCTCCCAGTGCATGGAGCCTGCTTCTCCCTCTGCCTGTGTCTCTGCCTCTCTCTCTCTCTCTCTCTCTCTCTCTGTGTGTGACTATCATAAATAAATAAAAATTTTAAAAAATCTTTTAAAAAAATACATAAAATCTTAAAAAAAAAAAAAAAAGAAAAAAGAAAAAAGCCCCCGAGGAATACACCGAAGGTCGCCAAGAGGAAAGTTAGTTGCCACACGGGGCTGGAACGGCTCCCTCTGTTGGCTGCGGCGAGAAAACCGGACTCTTGCACGAGGAGTTCCCGGGCCTCTGGGGCACACGGGCGGCGAGCGTGTCACACGCGAGCCTTCGCCTCTACTCACCCGATTTCTAAGATGGAGCTGCTGTTCCTCACGGCCAGGGCGAGGCACTTTCCCCCTTCGCTCGTTATCTTGTTCTCCCCCAGCCTGCAGAGAGAGCGGGCGGGCAGCCCCGGCGTGAGGGGACCCCACCGGCCCCCCGCCCCGTCCTGGGACCCGCGGCGCCCAGGCCCCCCCCACCCCGGCAGGACACGAAGCCCTGGAGGGAGCCGGCAGGCCCCTCCCCGGGCGGCGACCCCGGCCCTCCCGGGGGTTCTGGAAACGGCCCCCAGAGGCTCACTCGCACCCCCAGGGGCCCGGGGGCTCCGCTTCAGCTGCGAGCGGCCCTGCCGCCCGTGCTCTGTCGCCTCCGGAGAGCATCCCTGTGACAGGGCCGAGGCCGGGCTCGTACTGGCGGCGAGGCGGGTGCTAGGCCCGAATGCCCGTGTCCCCCCAAGCCCACATGCTGAGATCCGAACCCCTGAGGTGACGGGATTAGGAGGCCCTGGAGGCGACTAGGGCACGAGGGTGGAGCTGTCCCCTACGGTCCGTGATTCATAAGAGGCCCCACAGCCGCTCCCTGGCCTCCTTTTCCACCGTGTGAGGACGCAGCAGGAAGGCCCCGGCCATGAACCAGAAGCCCGAGCCCGAGCAGACACCCGACCGGCCGGCACCTCGGTCCTGGGACTCCTCAGCCTCCAGAATGAAGGAAGACCATGAGGGGCTTCCTTGGGGGATGAGGAGGGGGAGGCTTCGAGAAGGGGTGAGAGTTGTGGCCTTTCTTCCCGTCGGTACTCAGTCAAATGGGAATGCCAAGCTTCCCCCAAGGTGGCTGGCCCAGCAGAAATCCGAGCCCCCCCCTCAGGCCGTGATTCCCCCAGGCTGAAGGCCTACCTTCCGCGCACAGGCCTCTTAATTTGACCAATGTGGCCCCGGGGCAATGCTCTTTATGGTGACGTTTATTCTCCGTCTAAATAATGAAGGGGTGACCACAGAGGCCGCAGGGTACCCTGCCATGCCCACCCCCACTTACTTCAGGTGTGTGAGGCCTTTGCACTCATCCAGGATTCTGGCGACGTACCTGGCTCCCACATCCGTGATCTGGTTGCTGTACAGGCTTCAAGAAAAAGCACAGCATGAGACTTTAGGACTCCCAGGCTTTTTTTTTTTTTTTTTTTTATCTTTTTTGCAGAGGTGACACAATGTTACATTAGTTTCAGGCATGTGACATAGTGACTCTACAAGCTTCTAAGCTATGCCACGTTCATTCTGAGTGTAGCCCCCACCTGTCACCACAGGATGCTCTTACAGTGTCACCACCCACATTCCTTACACTGTGCCTTTTATCCCCATGTCCCAGTGTCATCTTAATGACCCCCATTTTTATTTTTTTAAATTTTTTAAAATTTTATTTATTCATTCATGAGAGACACAGAGAGAGGCAGAGACACAGGCAGGGGGAGAAGCAGGCTCCCTGCGGGGAGCCTGATGTGGGACTTGATCCCAGGACCCCGGGATCACGCCCTGAGTCAAAGGCAGACGCTCAAGCCCTGAGCCACCCAAGGCATGCCAATGACCCCCATTTTTTGACCCCCATTTTTAAAATGGGTATGTGCTGGCTGCTGATTTCTGAAGTCTGGGCTGAAAGGACAGAGGGACGACACAAGGAGAGCCGTTTGGGGCTCCGGGGTCTCGCAGGCCACGTTCAGGGCCAGCTCTGCCGTTTCCCCGGCTTCTGCTTCTGCGTCTGTAGAAAGGAGCAAGAATCCCAGCGCCCCACGGGGTCATTCGGACAATTCCGCACGGTCATTCCAAGCCCTCGTGTGCAAGGGCCCAGCCGGCGGCAGGGGATGGGTATTTTTCTATTAAGGTCACAAGCAGCAGTTTGAGGGAAAAATGTTTGTGTGCTGGAACCTCCTCCCTGCGGCTCCTTGTTAGTCACCTTACCACCTGATTCCAGTTCAGCAAGGCGGCAGAAAGAAGCTGAAAGTGGTAACCAGGCAGGTCACACCAAACTCCTGAGCCGAAAGGCCCCCTGGGCTCATGTGCTCCCTGGGCCTCAATCCAGGGATTAGCTCTTTATCCTAACTGCTTTGAATATTCACACATTTTGCTGCAGAAATACTAAAGTATTAAATATTAAGTATTAAAGTATTTGAAACCAGGGTACTGCCCTTGACCTCCCTGGTCTTATCACCACGGAACAGCATGTCCACTCAATTCGGATTGTGTGTTGTGCCCTCCGGGTTCTGGATAAGGGATCATGGGCCCAGAGTGGTGAATCTAACACATAAACAGTATCTGGCATCTGTAAAACATATCCCCAGGGGCGCCTGGATGGCTCAGGGGGTTAAGTGTCTGACTCCCGATTTCAGCTCAGGTCATGATCTCAGGATCCTGGGATTGAGCCCTGTGTTGAGCTCCACTCTCAGCAGGGAGCCTGCTTATAAATTTTTTTAATTTATTAATTTATGTATTTATGATAGTCACAGAGAGAGAGAGAGAGAGAGAGAGAGAGAGAGACATAGGCAGAGGGAGAAGCAGGCTCCATGCACCGGGAGCCCGACGTGGGATTCCATCCCGGGTCTCCAGGATCGCGCCCTGGGCCAAAGGCAGGCGCTAAACCGCTGCGCCACCCAGGGATCCCAAGGGAGCCTGCTTAGAAGTCTCTTCCTCTTGCCCCTCTTTCTGCTCAGTGTGTTCTCTCTCTCTCTCTCTCAAACAGTTGAAAAAAAATACCATATTCCCAGCTACTTCCTCAGCAACCCCAGATCACCACTCGTAAAATACTTGCCTATATTAAGATGCCAATATGCGACTGAAAAGGCAGCTCAGCAACATTTCCTGACTTGCTCAAAGAGTGGGCTGCTGGCGGAGCCCAGCACATGAACCCAGGACTCCCTGCTCCCAGGCCAGGGCTCTTCCTGGCGCCTTGGCCATCATTCCAACCATCCAGTGACCCCCACGAATGGCAGCTCCCCGCTCCTCTGTGTTATTACTACATCACTGGCTCACCACTGTTGAGGAATACGTACCCTAAGAACGTCAGAATTTTGTATTTGGTCAGCTCTTCATATAGCACCTTTACCCCACTGTCAGTGATCTGGTTTACGCTGAGTCTGAAACCAAACAGCAAAGAAAGTCATAAATCACCGCAGCTGTTCACATGCAGAAGCATTAATGCCACAAGGATCCAGAAGCCTGTAGGTCCAGGAGATTTCCCAGCTGCTGACAGGACAGCCAGAGCAGTCAGCCGAATAGCTCCTAAAAAGCCCCGTCATCGTGGGGCCAACAGGCCTACCCAGAACCAAGGCTACAGCGCAGCCCTGACTCAACACAAGGGCTCCGAAGGACACATAAAGGACACACGAGGCCAGCCAGCCCTGACCTCCTGCATTTGTGGGTGATGTCCGGGTCAGCCAGGCCCCTCGATGCGGTTCTCACTGCACAGGAGGGGCCGTGGGATTCGGAAACGTGTGGAGCCGCTTCTAGTGATGACAAAGCTGGAGGAAGGAACGCTCCACCGTCTGGCAAGTGGAGCCAGAGATACTAGGTGTCCTGCAAAAGGCAAAACAGTCCCCACAAGAACCGCCTCACCCACAGTGCCAGCAGCCTCCCCATCTGGAAGTCACATTCACAGAAGGGGGCAGGAAAAAGCCTTCAGGATGATGGCCGTCTCCTACCCAAGGGCCAGCCACTCGCTGGAACTGTTTCTGCACAATCCGTAGACTAACAGGATATTCTGATATGGCTAAAATGTGATTTTTTTTTTTTTTTTTTACTACCAAGTAATCTGTATAACCAACTACCCTGATTTTTTCAATCCTCCTCTCCATCATTTAGGTGAGGCTGCAGGACAGAGTAAAGCTCAGGGATAGAGGAGAGTGAGGCGTCAGGGGTGGGTGAGATAACAATCCAAGGGTCAGCAAACTTTTTCTGTAAAGGGCCAGAGAGCAAATCTTTTAGGATCTGCGGGCCATGTGGTCTCTACCGCAACTACTTGACTCTGTAGTGTGAAGCGGCTGATATGTATGCACGTGGGTATGGCTGTGTCCCAATAAAACTTTATTTACAAACACGAGCCCTGGGCCAGACTGAGCCCACAGGCTGGCCTCTATAATATGTGAAAGGCTGAACAAGCGGAAGTTTGATTTTTAGGCCACATCAGGTCAGATACTCAGGAACTCTCCTCCCATGGTGCCCACTTTGGTGCTGGGGCACAAAGTGTACACACACTGCACGCCATCTCAGGGTGGCCATCTCAGGAAGGCTACTAGTCACTTTCAATATCTGTACTTTCTTAGGAACAGAACCCCCCATTTTTTAAACTGGACACATGGGATTAAGTTGTGTCCCATGAAATCTAAGCAGACATCTCATTAGCAATAGCTGAAAAATTCTTCTTAGAAGAACGAGATGTGTCCTTTGCCTTTCCTTCTTCTCGGTGGCTAGAATGTCAACTGAATGGCTGGAAGTGACCAGCCATCCTGGGCCAAGAGGTAGAAATCAGGTAGTGAGGGCAGCAGGGTCACCACAGGGCAAAAGAGAGCCTGGGTTCCCACTGGTCATGGAGGCACCACGGCAGCCCTGAACCCCCCGCCTCTGCGCTTGGACTTTTCTATGAGACAAGCTTGTAACCTATCTAAGCCACCTCTATTTTGAGTTTCCACTAACTTTCAGTCAAAATTAACCCTACCTGGTGGTCTCCGGGAGCTCAAAATGCTTCTCTGGAGTTGCCCATGGCGTCCTGCTCTCCCCTTCACTGGCGTGGAGGAGAACTTCACCCGAGGACAGCTGCCTGAGGCAGGAGCATCACCCTGGTGCACTCCATCGCCTGAGATGAGCACAGGGGTGCCCAGGGTGTGAGCGTGCCCTGGGCTGAGAGCAAAGAGAACAGGCCAAGGCAGCCTTGGGCTCCCTACATCCCACTGTCCCCACCTAATGTACACTCTGGCATTGGTGTAACCGGTTCCAAATCCCCCCCGTTCTTCAGAAATACTTGAGCCAAGTTATGGAGAACTGAAGCCCTCGTGAGATTTACAAGGTGTATTTTATCCAGGAAATGCTAACAGAAGAAAGCAGACTAGCCTCTCCTTCCTCTAAACCATCAAGCAGGAAACCGTTTAGTTTGGACGAAGATCTACGGCAGCTCAGGGCTGCTGGCTCTGATCATGGAAAGTGACTGGGGCCAGTAAGCACAGAGTCTGTTTTTTCTGCAAACACAAAAGCTCCCAGAAACCTTTCACAGGCTATCTCCGAGCCTCCCACGAATCTCAAAAGGTTGGTGCTTTTTGATTCTGGCTCCACCGTGGCCCTGGCATGTGGCCTTGAGAACATCTCTGTGCCTCCAGTTCCTCCGTCGCCAAAATGAAACTAGCAGTACCCACTACCTTATAGGGTTGCTAGTATTTGTAGTGCCCTTCACCCATTCCCAATGAATGCTGTTGCTATTACTGTAACTGCTAGGATACCAGCATCTCCCTTTTTCAGATGAGGAATCAGAGAGGTGAAGCAATTCATTCAAGGACACCCAGCCAGGGCTGACCTGGAGCCGCCTGCCATGGAGGCACTGCTCCTTGCCCTGTGCCACCCTGAGATAGAACAGGTCTGGGTGTGCCAAGACCAGTGGTCACAGGTGCCAGGGTAATTCAGGAGGTCCTAACCCATGATGCTCGTCCTGGTGTCTCTGGAGCCTGGCCCTCCCCGCCCCACTGGCTGCTCCCTGTGCCTAGCCTCACCTGAGGACGGTGAGGCGGCTGAAGCAGGGCTGCAGCTCCCGCACGCCGTAGTCGTTGAGATTGTTGTTGTCCAGGTCGAGGGCAAGCCGCTTGCGGAAGTGGTGCAGGACGAAGGAGAGGGCGCTGCAGTCGGCCGAGCACGCGTTGCAGTAGGTCAGCTTGAGGTAGTTGGCGCAGATGCCCTTGGCCGCCAGCCGGCCCACCTTCTCGCTCTGGGTCTCGTAGATGCAGCGCAGCATCCAGATGAAGGTGGGCATGGCCTGTACTTGGCTGAAGCCCCCGGACTGAGTTCGGGGCAGGTTCTTCAGGTGGGCCCGCAGGCTGGCAAGCAGGTGTGCCCACAGGGCCCTGCGCTTTCTGCGCAGGGCAGCGGGGGGCACCAGGTGCCGCAGGAGTTTCTCCTTGGCCTTGGACAACAGGCCGCACAGGAAGAGGTTAGTGAACTGAAAGTGATCCTTGTTCTTGAAGGGGTCTTCCCCCGCCAGGCCACCGCCCTTCAGGCACTGGAAGGGGAGGAGAGGGGGATAGCAGGACTCTGCTCCCGCCTCCCCGGGAGGCGCCCACTCCTGAAAGAACCTGAGCAGCTGCTGAGTGCCCACCTGGTCGTCCACCACGAGAAAGAAGGCGGTAAAGAAGGCCTGGAGGGTGATGTGAAAAAACTCGTAAGACTGCTGGTCGCCGCCCACGCCCGGCTCTGGCACGGCCCGCAGGAAGCCCAGCTGCAGCTCCCCCTCCTGAAACTCGGCCGCCTGCACCTCCTCCTGGCCAAAGACAAAGAGGCTCTTCTCCATGCCCCCGTGGGCCACCTGCCCCAACGAGCGCAAGGTGCCCCGGCCGGCGCGGAAGGTCTCCACCTGGCTCCGCGTGTTCCGCTGCACCAGGCTGGTGGGCTGCGTCCTGTTCAGGTGGACCTCGGTGACCAGCAGGAAGACATCGGTCAGGGTCACCGTGCGGCTGGGCAGCTGCGCCGTGCTGTCCCACACGCTGTGGAAGTGCTGGAAACAGCGGAAGATGATCCAGCAGAAGAGGGGCACGGCGCACAGGCTGCAGAGGTTGGGGTTGGCCTCCAGCTGGGCCAGCAGGTGCTGCTGCATCGCCCGGTCGGGGAACATCCTCCGGGCGTAGGCCCGCAGGTGGCTGGGGGAGAAGCCGCGCAGAAGCACCTTCTTGCGGAGGAGCTGGCGCGGGATCTCGACGCCCGTGCGGGCCGTGAGCAGCTTGGCGGCGCCCTTGAGCAGCTTCCCGCTGAGCAGGTTGGCCAGCAGGACCAGCGGGTGGGCGGGCTCCCAGGGGGAGGAGGTGTCAGGTGCGCCGCTCAGGTCGAAGTCCGAGTGCAGCTCGTCCAGGCCGTCGAAGGTGAAGAGGGCCGCGTGCGGGCAGCGCAGCAGGAAGGCGAACACCTCGTCGGGGTCGTGCTCCGGGTAGCAGTAATGCTTGAAGAGCAGGTCCTGCAGGCACAGCGCGTCGCCCTCCTTGAAGCAGCTGAACACGCGGCAGCGGAAGTGGAAGAAGAACTTGAACTGGGCGTCCAGCCGCCGCGCGGCCCACAGGCTCTGCAGCCGCTGCAGCAGCATGGACTTGCCCACGCCCGCGTCGCCGCAGATGAAGATGGTCTCGCCCTGCTCACTGAGGACGCCGCTGGAGCGGTCCAGGAGGCAGGCCAGGCTGCCCAGAGGGCCCAGGCTCTCGTCCTTGAGGCCCACCAGCTCCGCGATGGTGTCGGTGTACATCTCCTCCAGCAGCAGCTCCTCCTTCTGGGCGTAGCACAAGACGAACTTGGAATCCCGGCCCAGTTGCTGTCGCAGCTTCTCCGTGTACCTGCTTACTGGAGGGTGGGGAGGACAGCCAGTTCCCAGTGAAATGCTTTTTGTTGTTGTTTTGAAGTGTATCTATTTATTTAAGTAATCTCCACTCAACAGTGGAGCTTGAACTCACCACCCCCGAGATCAAGAGCCTCTTCGGGGCTCCCCGGACTGAGCCAGCCAGGCACCTGGAAACGTGTACGGTTGACAAAGAAATAACCCTAACCTTTCTTCCGCTTATCACGTAGCTCTGAAAACGAGGCGTAGTCTCAAAACTAAATGCCAGAACTTTTAGTGAGAAAATACACTACACAGTAGCCTGGATTACAAATGAGCTGTGCCAAAGCACAAAAAGAGAGTAAATTAGGGGGATCCCTGGGTGGCTCAGTGGTTTTGTGCCTGCCTTTAGCCCAGGGCCTGATCCTGGAGTCCCGGGATCGAGTCCCACGTCAGGCCCCCTGCATGGAGCCTGCTTCTCCCTCTGCCTGTGTCTCTGCCTCTCTCTCTCTCTCTCTCTTTCTGTGTCTCTCATGAATAAATAAATAAAATCTTTAAAGAAAAAAAAAGGACAGTAAATTAGGATAAAAACTACCTTATTGAACTCCACAGAGCACACTAGCCCCAGGACCCCAGCATCTGACACCTTAGCATCTGTCCACAGGGGAAGAGACACAGTAACGTGCTCACATGTGCGTGGAGCTCAGCAAACCTGAGCTAGAAACGGACCTTACCCCGCAGAGGGAGGTGGTCCTTCCCCAGCCATACAAAAGGCTGTTCCATAAATGCCTTTAAAATACTTCCTGGATTTTAATTATAAGTCAGTTAACAAAAACGAGATGCACGTGCCCATTTCCAAATTCATCTGTAACCTTTTCCCATCAACTTAGTCTAACTTGGTTGTCTGCTTAAAATTTGTGAATTACATTTTTTATATCTTTAGTAAGGCATAATTGATGTACCATAAATTCACGTATTTTACAATAGGTGCTGTGTACTACTCACTGATTTTTAATAAATTTACCAAGTTATGCGAACATCACTACAATCCAGTTCTAAAATATCTCGGACGTAAGCCCACTCCTAGACAGTCTCTGCCCCGGACCCTAGGCCACTGCCAATTTGCTTTCTATCTCTATTAATTTGCTTTTTCTGGACATTTCATATAAATAGGATCACACAGTATGTAGTCTTTCACATCCGGCTTTGTAGAGTGACTTATACTTTAAAAGCTACTGAAGTGGGCAGCCCAGGTGACTCAATGGTTTAGCGCCACCTTAGGCCCAGGGCCTGATCCTGGAGACCCGGGATCGAGTCCCACGTCGGGCTCCCGGTGCATGGAGCCTGCTTCTCCCTCTCTCTGTGTCTCTGCCTCTCTCTTTCTGTGTGTCTCTCATGAATAAATAAATAAAATAAAATATGTGTAAAAAAAAAAAGCTACTGAAGTAAAAGAACCAGTGGAGATGTCTTTTGAAAGAATTATCACAGGCAGGACCATTTTCCTTTTCTCCTGGGGAAGAAAACAGGATGAAGTACAAAGGAGCAGTAGAAGTAAGAAGCTAACAGTGGCCACAGGTATCTGCAGGGGCGGCTGCAGAAGAGCTGGGCCTTGACACTGCTGGTTGGCCTGGTTTCCCTCAAACACACACCTGACTGTCAGGAACATTGTCCTTTGTCTCTGTGTTCAAGGTCAAACTGGATGCTTTAAACATCCCAGTTTGGGAGCTCAGTGCTGGTATATTGTCAACACGTGTCTCAAACTAGAGAGAACATGGGCATGGAAAGACCTCCTGGCTCCCAGGCCAGATCGTGGCCCCGGTGTGCACTGCAGCTTCAACTGGTCTTGTCCTTGTCATCACGTGCAATCACACGTTCCCCTGATCATGTTCCAGTGGGCCTCCTGCACTGGCCTCCGAGCTCCCTGAGAACCAGAACCGTAACCAGTCTGCTCCACATTGTAACCCTGGCATCCAGCACCATGGCTCGGCACATGGTGGGCACGTCGTCAATAGTTGACCTAATGGGTCAGCTAATGTGGTACCACTGTGCTTCAGAAATAAGGACTGGCAACTCGGGGTGACAGAAGAATACTTTGCCCAGGATGAAATTTGGAAAGATGTTCAAAGGGAAAAGAATGCAACCTGGAATTTGTGCAACCACTGAAATGTCTCTATATGTCAGAATGGCAAGTAAGCAAGAGGCCAGGAGAGAGGCCATGCCAAGGCTTCCACAGGCCTCTCCATAAATCACACCAGCCCCCTGTGGTCAGTTCAGTCACGGGGCGGGTGGCACCCAGAGGACAGGGATCTACTGGCTGAGGGTGCGCGCAGGGCTGCTGGTGCCGACCCCCTGCCCTGTGGAGCCCAGATGCCGCAGCATTTCCAAGCTGCAGGGCTTTGCTTGCTGGCAGTCTGCAGTCCCCTTGGGGGAGAGGGGGACTCGTACCTGGGTCGGTGTTGACGACAACTTTGCTCTGAATAAGCTCTGACGGGGAGAAGCCAATCTCCGACAGCCAAGGCCTGAGATCCACATAAGCGTCTTCGAGTTGTTGGAGCACGTAGAGGAGGAACTCAGATGCTTCTTCACCCTTGCTCTGTACCAGGTCCAGAATTTTGCGGACCTGGTGGCAGTGTAAGCAAGAGGGGGTGAGCTAGTGCTTGGGGAGTCCTGCCACCGCACAGGCCCACACTAGGGCTCCAAGCTCTTACTATGTCCTTGAACTTGGCTGTCCACCCAGAGGTGTGAGATGCTACCTATGAAGGCCTAGAATCTGGGAAGGGGACCCACCTTAAGAAGAAATTAAACGATGCAGCTCTAAAAAGCTGGAAGGCGGGGGATCCCTGGGTGGCTCAACGGTTAAGCCCCTGACTTTGGCCCAGGGAGTGATTCTGGAAACCCAGGATCGAGTCCCACATCAGGCCCCACGCATGGAGCCTGCTTCTCCCTCTGCCTGTGTCTCTGCCTCTCTCTCTCTCTCTCTCTCTCTCTCTCTGTGTGTCTCTCATGAATAAATAAAATCTTTAAAAAAAAAATAAAAAGCTGGGAGGCTTCCATGAACTTAAAAGTACAGAGTCAGACTCACAAACCAGAGCTATGTCCACCCCTGTTAAGCTAACACTGCTGCTGGCCAGGAATGAGCAGTGCTGGGACAAAGTAGCTGCATAGGGGAAAGACGATCCACTGGAAAAAGGACAGTCTCTTCAATAAATGGCGCTGGGAAAATTGGACAGCCACGTGCAGAATGAAACAAGACCACTCTCTTACACCACACACAAAGATAAACTCAAAACGGATGAAAGATCTAAGTGTGAGACAAAAATCCATCAAAATCCTACAGAACACAGGCAACACCCTTTTTGAAACTGGCCAAGCAACTTCTTGCAAGATACATCTATGAAGGCAAGGGAAACAAAAGCAAAAATGAATTATTGGGACTTAATCAAGATAAAAAGCTTCTGCACAGCAAAAGAAAAGTCAACAAAACTAAAGACAACCTACAGAATGGGAGAAGATATTTGCAAATGACATATCAGGTAAAGGGCTAGTTTCCAAGATCTATAAACAACTTATTAAACTCAACAGCAAAGAAACAGACAATCCAATCATGAAATGGGCAAAAGACATGAACAGAAATTTCACCAAAGAAGACACAGACATGGCCAACAAGCACATGAGAAAATGCTCCGCATCACTTGCCATCAGGGAAATACAAATCAAAACCACAATGAGATGCCACCTCACACCAGTGAGAATGGGGAAAATTAACAAGGCAGGAAACAACAAATGTTGGAGAGGATGAGGAGAAGAGAGAACCCTCTTACACTGTTGGTGGGAATGTGAACTGGTGCAGCCACTCTGGAGAACTGTGTGGAGGTTCCTCAAAGAGTTAAAAATAGATCTGCCCTACGACCCAGCAATTGCACTGCTGGGGATTTAGCCCAAAGATACAGATGCAATGAAACGCCGGGATACCTGCACCCCGATGTTTCTAGCAGCCATGTCCACAATAGCCAAACTGTGGAAGGAGCCTCGGTGTCCATCGACAGATGAATGGATAAAGAAGATGTGGTTTATGTATACAATGGAATATTCCTCAGCCATTAGAAACGACAAATACCCACCATTTGCTTCAACGTGGATGGAACTGGAGGGTATTACGCTGAGGGAAGTAAGTCAATCGGAGAAGGACCAACATTGTATGGTCTCCTTCATTTGGGGAATATAAAAAATGGTGAAAGGGAATAAAGGGGAAAGGAAAGAAAATGAGTGGGAAGTATCAGTGAGGGTGATAGAACATGAGAGACTTCTAACTCTGGGAAATGAACAAGGGGTAGTGGAAGGGGGGGTGGGCAGGGGGTTGGGGTGACTGGGTGATGGGCATTGAGGGGGGCACCTGACGAGATGAGCCCTGGGTGTTATGCTATATGTTGGCAAATCGAACTCCAACAAAAAATATACAATAAAAAAAAAAGTAGCTGCATAAGCAGAATGGGGTGGGTGCTGGGCCACAGAGCCGAGGGCTGACATATACCCGTATGTAAGCTATGCCCTAAAAAAGCTTTCTTGTATTATTAAAAATGCAGGGGGGGAATTAAATTACACAAGTCAGCTACTGTGCTTTCCCCCCAAAACCCTCTGGTCTCCCCGGAGCCTGGCAGGAGCACCTTACAAACAAGTTCTATCACTCCTCCAACCAAAGAATTTTGGGTCTTGCCAATTCTATTTTTCAGGACATGACACAAAGCTAAAAGGGAACTAAGGGCTGTTTAGACTTCCCACAGTGAGGGGCGCCGCCTGGGTGGCTCAGTCAGTTAAGCAACTGCCTTCAGCTCAGGTCATGATCTCAGGGTTCTGGAATGGAGCAGAGATCTGCTTCTCCCTCTGCCTCTGCTTCCCCTTCTCCCTCTGCCCGTGCTCACTCCCTCTCCCTCTCTCTCTCTCACACACACACACACATAAATGAGGGGAGTGTGGAAAAGTCTTCACTGAAGACCAGGCTGGGATGTGTTTGTTCCCAAACCAGAGGCAAGGCCATTCTCAAGAGTCTTACCCAGCAGTGAGCGGCTCTCTGGAGTTCAGAGGCGCTGAATGAACATCACTTGCTAGTGTTTGATGGTCGTTACCTTTTTCCCTCCTCCTAATAGAAAGTGGATTGAAAACAACAGGCTTTGGAAGCCATACGTGCCCCAAGAAGAGAGGAGAGGTGAGAGGAGTCTGCTCCCCACACCAACTCAGAAATATGGAACTGTATAATAAGCTGGTAGCTCAAGTGTTTCTGCTCTGTAAGTGACCCCAACGGGAAATCCCGCCAACGTGCTAAATGCCCAGAGGTCCTCCCTCAGGTCCCCCGAGAAGCCCCTTCTGGCTACTGAGACATGCAGGCCGCCAATGGCAGCCCCTGTCACCAGTACCTTGTCGGGCTGCGTGGGGCAGGCACCCACGATCTCCGCATCTTCGGAAGAGAAGTAGTCATTCTCCAGCAGGTTGTCCACCAGACACTGGGTGTTGCGGATGTGAGTGACCAGAAGTTCCCGGTTGATTTTCAGCAATTTAACGTGGGAGTGAGACTCTGATGGGATCATCCCCATCTCACCGTGACTCTGCTTTTCCATGGCTAAGGGAGCGAGGGATGGCTTTGCCCACATTCATCTTTGGCTACATGTGTCTTCCTGGCAGGAGGCGATCAGGATCCAGGGCACCCACCTCTCTCTCAGTGCCGCCCCTGAAGAGACCAACGAAATCACAGTGAAGCAAAAGTCACGGGAAAGATGCTTCCTCTTTGGTCCTGGAAACTTACTTCAAGCAGGGGGAGTCCTGCTTAAGATGCTGACCTGAGGGGCACCTGGGTGGCTCAGTCAGTTAGCACGTGACTCTTGACTTGGGCTCAGGTCATGATCTCGCAATCTTGAGATTGAGCCCCCCTTCAGGTTCTGTGATTACAGTGGAATCTGCTTAAGATTTTCTCTCTCCCTCTGCCTCTGCCCCTCCCCTGGCTCTCACAGTCTCTTCTCTCTAAAAAAAAAAATGATAATAATTAAAAATAAATTTTAAAAAAAGATGGTGATCTGAGATACATTAAAGAAAAAATCATAATTGAATTGCTTCCGCTTGTGGGTTACAAGCCTAGGGAGGGTGACCAGAGGTAGACACCCTTTTGTTTAGTTTTGTTTTGTTTTTAAAGATTTTATTTATTCATGACAGACACAGAGAGAGGGGGGCAGAGACACACGCAGAGGGAGAGGCAGGCTCATGCAGGGAGCCTGACGTGGGATTCGACCTTGGGGCTCCAGGATCAGGCCCTGGGCCGAAGGCAGGTGCTTAACTGCTGAGCCACCCAGGGATCCCCTAGACACCCTTTTGTATAGCAAAACGTCTTTATTATCTCTTAAATAATAATAATTGTAAAAAGTGTGCCTCAATCCCAGCCTGGGATAGAGATGGGAAGGTATATTATTTTTCATAAAAAGGAATTGGGAGCACCATGGTTGGCTGAGGGTTGGGGAGTTGCTGAGAGAGAGGGTCTGAGCGCAAAATGGCCTGAAGAGGAAGATAGCCAGCATGAAGTCACCTGTGTTAGCCAGAGCCCAGGAACCTGGGAACAGGGACGTTTCCATCACTTTTGCCCGTTCTGGGCTGTGCCGTAGTCCTCCTGCAGCCCTGCTCCAGCTATCCTCACACCTCTAGCAAAGTCTGCCATATACCAAGCACTCTGGGGCATGAGGGAGGAATAACAGCCATGTCTGGAGTGAAGCAGGACAGACAGAGGGCAGCAGACAAGGTGACATGGACTTCCAAGTGGCAGATGACCAGGAAAAGCCGTCTTCCTGGAAACTCTTGAAAACCTTGTGCATCTGCTGAGCTTCCGTCTGGGTACAAACAGGGACCCAAGCCATTTTATTTGGGTATTAAAAACTGATTTGGGTTCATCTGAGTGACCCCCACATTGCACTGATTTCCTTTCTTGTACCGTAAGATCCTTCAGCCACTTCTCCACTCATCCTTGTGTATATAAAGTGGGTCATTATCTTGGAAGTAGAAAGGCCTTAAACTGGCCACTTAGTCCCTCCTTGAGGTAGGAAAACTCACACATCCCAGAGAGATCATTTTTATACTTTTTTGTTGAGCCCCGTCACCCCCAAAATGACTTGTAAACACTGTCACTGTCATTACTGGATCTCTTACAAGCCCACATCTGTAAACGTTCAAGTCCAGCAGTTCTTGATTTTACCCCCCAAGTCACATAAGTCTCCTGGTCTTTTACACACATCCATTTTTCCTTCTTTTATGTCAATTTGCTAAACACTGCTAGCCTTACAGAATTTCTCACTGGGACCCACACAATAACTTTCCTTTTATAACCTGAGTGACTGAGCAAGAGAATAGTACAATTTAACATTCTAAGTAGCGGGAGGACAAGACATCCTTATCAAAAAGAACTTTCACGGATGGAAATGACTGGTTAGTTAACTACCGTACTAGACGTATGCTTGCCTCTTAGATGTTAATTCAGCCTTTTCCATTGTGGTCAATCGTATGACCTATTTTAGGATCCACAGCATTTGAAAAATGGTTCCCTGAAGGGATACCGGTAGATAATATTAAATTTAAATTAGGGGAAGGGGCAGCCCCAGTGGCGCTGCGGTTTAAAGCCACCTGCAGCTCAGGGCGTGATCCTGGAGACCCGGGATCGAGTCCCACGTCGGGTTCCCTGCATGGAGCCTGCTTCTCCCTCTGCCTCTCTCTGTGTGTGTGTGTGTGTGTGTGTGTGTCTCAATAAATAAATAAAATCTTTAAAAAAAATAAATACATTAGGGGAAAATGATACCGTTTTAAGTTTCCAGCATTATTCTCTGAAGTAAGTCAGAATATTTTATTTTTTTAATTTTTATTTCTTTATTATAGTCACAGAGAGAGAGAGAGAGAGGCAGAGACACAGGCAGAGGGAGAAGCAGGCTCCATGCACCGGGAGCCCGATGTGGGACTCGATCCTGGGTCTCCAGGATCGCGCCCTGGGCCAAAGGCAGGTGCTAAACCGCTGCGCCACCCAGGGATCCCTAAATCAGAATATTTTAAAACAACTTTCTCTTCTGAAATCTTTAATTTCCAATATTTTTCTGGAATCTGCAAAATTAAAAAAAAAAAGACAAGTTTCTTTGAAAATACCATTGTAATGAATGGTGAATGAATGAATGAAATTGATGATGGGGTAGTTTTAAATCCAGAACTCTAGGATGCTGGAGTACTCTCTGTATCTTCTTCCTTCATGACAATGTTTTCTAAATGTCATTTGGGCAACATATTCACTTATATTATTTTTTGGCCACAACTGAGTTCCACCTGTACTTTATTTGCTTAACTTTGTGCTTTAGATTGACTTTTTTTGTTTTGTTTTGTTTTTCATTTGTTTTAGTTCTAGTATAGTTAACACAGTGTTATGTTAGTTTCAGGTGGACACTACAGTGATTCAATACTTCCATATGTCACATCACAGCAAGTGTACTCCCTATTCCCCATAAGTTGCCTATTTTAAAACTCAGATTAATTTTTATAAAGATTTTATTTATTTAACAGAGAGAGCAAAAGCAGGGGGAGCAGCAGACAGAGGGAGAAGGAGAAGCAGGCTCCCTGCTGAGCAGAGACCCTGATGTGGGATCATGACCTGAGCCAAAGGCAGGCACTTAACTGACACAGCCACCCAGGTGCCCCAAATTTTAAAGGAAATTTTATATCACCATTATAAATGAAGACCAGCACTTTCAATAAATAGGAAATAACACAAAAATAAATTCTCCGGAAATAAAACCATGCTATTGTATTCCACCTCAACAGGGCTGCCTGGAAAAATCTGAGGTCTGGGGCCTGCTTGCTTGTAGAAGCATTTGAGGGTGTTAAAGACATAGTAGCACAAAACTGAGACTTTCTTTGCACTAATCCTTAATCTGAGAGAACTGGAAAGGGAACTGCTTGCTTATTTTATAAGTGTTTTGCAGGCATGGCTGCTCGCTGGAACAAGGCTTGGAAGGGTGTTCGTTTCACCTGTTCAAACCTCATCCATGTCCATCTACACTGAGGGCCCCATGTTACTCACAGCTCTTGTCTCTTCTGAGCCTGAAATTCCCACAATACCAGTGATTTCTCCCCTCAGCCTGCCCACAGTGACCCTGCAGACATCTCCACCTTTTGCTATCAAAGGCAGAAACTTCAGCCTCTTGATTTATGGCCACCTAAGGAAAGCAACAAATGCCATGTCAGCCAGCTGGCAAGGAGGCTGTTGTTCTATAATTTCCAAAGCCCTGGTTTGAGATTTAATCATATTTGTGGAATTAGCTCAATCCAGCGGGAACTTGAGGTATGGCTGGTGGAAGAGGAAACAAAAAAAAGTTGAACCTGCCTGGTAAACAGGATCCAAGGGAAGACCAAATCTATACCCTGGGGCACCATAGATAAATCCACTTCATGGGCATCTGGTTACCAAAATACCGAACAGAGCCAGGGATCTCCTAGGCCTGACAGGGGATCCATCATGGTCTTTACCCAGTAAAAGATGGGTCTGCCTAGTGAAGATGGTCAAGGTGCCACGTTCAGGCAAACAGAAGACCAAGGCTGGGTCAGGGTCAGGTTTGGTGAGCTGGACCTGTTCCAGCGGCTGGGGTTCACCTGGGGCCATAGTATTGGAAAAGACTGAAAGCAGATATCCTGGTGAGGCAAGTCCAGCAAACAACCAAAAAAACCATTAAGCCAATGGAGATGGCCAGAAAATAAGACTCATCACAGAACAAAAGAGGAAGATGAAGTAGACAAATGAAGCAGAAAAGGTCAGAGGTGGGCTGGTCTGCCACCAAAAGCCATCTCTTGAGACAAAGGCAAGTTGAGGTAGAGCCTATTGATGGGGAGGGAGCCCCTTGGGAGCTGAGGGGGTTAGATGGCACCCCCATCCCCTCCTCTTCTTCCTGGGTTTGTAATCTGCCCTCACAGACGGTTAGTCCCCAGGTAACAGAATCCCAGCATCAATCCACCACCTTAGGCTACTTATAGAGATCTGTGCCCAGGTCCCATCTTGCAATTTGAACTTCTGAACTAAATATAAAGTCTGTAGAGTCTCCATTAAAGGCGCAGGGAAGCTTCTCAGAAGAAAACAGAGCAAGTACTAGGGGAGGGCAGGCAATCAAAGGAAAATAGAAATAGAGACAGAAGAGAGAAACTCTCTATGTTGAATAGAAATAAAATATAATGTGTGATCTAAGATTTTCTAGCGGCCACAAAGTAAAAAGAAATTAATTTTCATAATGTTCTGTTTAACCCAATATATTAAATTTCTTATTTCAATATAGAATTAATGAAACATCTTACATTCATTTTTTTCATACTAAGGCTCTGAATTCCAGTGTGCACTTTACACTTACTGCTAGCACTTCTCAGTTTGGGCCAGCCACACACCAAGTGCTCAACAGCTACGGTGGCCAGTGGCTACTGTGCTGAATGGTGTAGCTCTAGAGCAACCACCGGAAGCCATGGTAGAAGGGCATTGGAGCTCCTGCCCTGTCCCCCCTCCATCTAAAATACTGAGGCCAGGAATGACTCTGAATTGGCTCTTCAGGTTAGTTTCTCAGAAAGTCAGTGAGGCAGGTAGTTAAAAAGGTGAGATCACTGACAGTTTTGTGAACTCAGAAAGGAAATAAGTAGGGGACCCACTGGTTTTATAGTTGGTGTACAATTCCTTTTAACTATCGGTAACAGATTTACAGCTTTTCATGCTCGAAAAGATTAAAAATAAGAACTATTTTTTGTCAAGGCATTTTTGTCAAAAATGCTATTGATAGTATCATGAGACAGAGACTTCCGTCCGCCATGGGTAGGGATGCATCTTGGTGGAGACCATCTGGGAACCCATTTAACAGTATGTATCAAGAGCCTGTGAAAAGTTCAATTTAGTAACTTCCTATTCTAGAAATTTGCTTTCTGGAAAGATTCAGAGGTTCTGACAATTTTGTTTTTTTAAACAGATTTCGTCT